ACATTGACGTTGAACAAACTGCAAAACGATATGCGATAACTGAGAATGTTGTATCAACAAATTGAATACATAATGTCTGCAATATGCAAATTATTGCCTTCTTTATGGCTTCGCCTGCTTCTGCTTGTTGGTCTTACTGTTGTTGTAGTTGTTGTTGTTGTCGTCTTCTTTTTTTTTTTGTTTGCTTCAATAACAAGTGCAAGTTTAAGCCACAAGTCGGTATGGTCAGAACCGAATTGGCCAAGAGTCAGGGCTAAATGGCTGTAACTGTTACTGTTGCTGTTTTTTTTGTTGCTGTTGCTGTGCTTGTGTTGCTGTGTTGCTGTTGCTGTTGCTGTTTCTGGTCGCAGTCGTAAGCACTGTTGTAATTGCCATGTTACAAGCCTCACTTACACGTCGATTACTCATACGCACCGTGGGCCAAATGAGTTGACAATGTTTTTTATTCCCTTTTCGTTTTTTTTTTTGTCATTTTCCATTCATTTTTCATTTTTAATTTATACTTTTTTTTTGTTTTGGGTCCAATGTTAATAAAAACAATGATGATTATGTCTTTCGCTGACGGTCAAGTGCGTTGTGTACTTTTTGTTTTTTTTTTTTAAGTAACTGAACTTCTCGACTCGTAATCATTTCTTTGTCTTACTATTGTTGTTGCTGTTGTTGTTGTTAAGAAATGGGGAAACAGCTGCGCTGAAGGTTGCTGGCGGTTAGGTAATAAAACCGCTGAGCTAGTTACTTTTTGCATGAAAAGGTGAATGCCAACACAACGACCACAAACGAAAAGCTTTAACAACAAAATAAAATAGCGAAAAACAAACAATAATGTTACAAGCTTGACTAAAAAATTTCCTGAAGAAATCATCTCCAATGGACTTACTTTTCTGGCTTGCTGACGACTTTTGAGATCAGTGCTTGAGTTTAAAATTAATATTTCAATACTTTTCTGATAGTTGCAGAAAATTCACAAATATTCGAATTTTTCTTAATTGTTTTTCTTACAAAATAAATACTTCAATTATTATTCGTTAATCTCTGAAGCATTTTTTCATAATTAGCTCTCCTTCGCTTGCTGCTGCTTTAATTAATCTTTGTGATGAGTCAAGGATTTTAAGACACCCTCAAATTTGTCAGTTTCATTTGTGTTATTGTTGAAAATCCAATCCAGACTTTGTTTTTCTTTTTATTGTTATCACTTGTAATTTCGCCAATGCTCCGGAATTTTCCACTTTCGCTTTCTCGTCTGCTGCAAATGCTCCAACTCTATCTGCATCCCTATAATGTTTTTATTATACACACAGCTGCATTATCTGGCAAATCAAAATCAACAGCAGCAGCCACCATAAATGTTTGTACGTTTAACCTACAAGTGACCCCGCCCTGCCACGCCCCCTCGCCAATGTCCTGCCAGCGCAGGACAAAGAGCTGTAACATCATTGACCAGATTACCGAGCACCAAACAAAGAGATATACTAGTATACCCAGTAAGCCCTACAAGCGGCACCCGCCTCCAAAGAAAACAACTACCCCCCTCCCTCCCTCCCCCCCACCCCTCCCGTCTCTCCGCCCTACTCGCTCCAGTCCGTCGAAACCGTAACAATTACAAGTCTGATGATTTTTTGCGTGAATGGGGAGCACACACAAAAGTAAAGTTTGACAAACGTTGTCGTCGTTGCCATCGCAATCAAGTCAAGACTGAGTGAGATTCGGTTCTCCACAAAACCGTCTGCAGGTTAGTCAGTCGACTTGTCGGGTTTGTTGTGCTGGTGTTCGGGGGATTGGCGGGGTTTGGGCACGTGGCGCGTGTGTATTAGATGATATGAGGTCATTCACTGCTGTTTACTCCGAAAATGTTGTCTCGCCATCGTCGCCATCGCCATCGCCAGCGTCGCCTTCGTCGTCGTCGTCGCCTTCGTCGTCGTCGTCGCCTTCGTCGTCGTCGTCGTCTCCGTCGTCGTCGTCGTCGTTGTTGGCGATGACGCGCCGATTCATATCATTTTCGGTGAGTGAATTGCTCGCGGTTTGGGTGAGTTCCAGCTTTGGGTGGGGGAGTGCTTCACTCGAACCATCCATCCAGGCCAGGCCGTAAGTAAAGCGATACATTTCCGACACTTCCTAACCATCGACTTGGCGTCTGGCGTTGCAGGAGCAGCAACAGCAGCAGCAGCAGCTGAAGTGGAGGAGCCGCTGTCGAGGATTTGCAGTCGTCGTCGTCGTCGTCTGTTCAATGACTTTTGTGTGAAACATGAAACATGAATCGACTACACAAGCCTAACCTCCACCAAATACCCCCGGCGCAGACTTGGTGCCAGTCTCAGGCCCAGTCCTAGTCCCAGTCCCAGTTCCAGTGACAGTCCCAGTTCCAAGTCGAGGTGCCTCAGACCCACCTAAAGCGTTTCCTCTTCAAAAAATTCTTTTACGGCTCTGTGTCTGTGCCACGTACTCCCCTCTCTCTCTCTCTCTCTCGCTCTCTTTCACTCACACTCTGTGTGCCTGTCACAGTTGTTGCCCAAAGGAGTCGTCTGTGTGCCCCTCCCTTGACGTCGCCGCCTGCCACCTACTTCTACCTACTCCCTGCTCCATCGCCTGCCTCCTTTGAACGGCTACCAGTTGTGGGTACATTGGACTCATTTCGCACACAGACCAGCGCACCAAAAGTATGTCTGTGTCGCCAACGTCTTTGCTGTCGCCTCATTAAAGTTCTCCCTCCGCCCCTTCCCGCTGCACCCCAGCACCTAAAATGCCAAACTCTTCCTTCAGTCAGCTACTGCTGCTCTTGTTCTGCTTCCTTTATTTGCAATATTCAAGCACACACATGTTGAGTTTCAAGAGAGTAAATTACACACACACACACACATAGAGCGAGAGCGAGAGAGAGAGAGACAGACGCAAGTAAATGGAAAGGCCCCCAACAAGTAAAACAAACGGAAAGTGAAAATTTGCTCTACTGCCATCGTCAAATGTCGTTGAGAGAGTAATTTTATGCGCGCGCTCTCTCGTTTGCAGTCTCTCTCTCGCTCGCCCTCTTGCTCTCTCACACACACTTGCATTGAGTCATAGTCGTGCCCGATTGCAGCAGCAGCAGCAATAGCAGCAGCAGCAGCGACGTCGACTTCATCTCCGCCATCTCCTTCTGCTCACTCTCATCTCACTAATACACACGCATACGCTCTCTGCTGCTGCTGCTGCTGCTGCTGCTGCTGCTGCTCCCCCGTTGATCGCGCAGCCCTTTTGACTTGGCCTGACCCATTTGGGTGCCCAGATAGTGGCTGCAATTTGCCACTCGCTCCACTTGCTCCAGTGAAGTGAACGCACTGGGTCTGGGTCGCCTCAGCTATTACAAGAGTGTATCCATATCTATGTAGATACAATTATGTCTATGTATGTGTGTGTATGTGTGTGTATATATACTATCTGAAGATCGGGTGTTTTGATCGGACTAACAAGGAAATGGTGGGGTTGCTAAACAGCATAAACTGAGCTTCGCATATGATTATCGCACTAATAATAAGAATTTATAGAACTCTACAATGTCTAATTAGTTGTGTGAATTTAAACGGATTTTTTGTGTTAGATTATGTTGGAGATCTTACAGATATTTAAAGTACACTGCTTGATAAATCTAATTATCTTTTATATTTTATCTGAAGTCGCATTTTTCTAATAAAAAAATAAACAAGTTTTGCTTAGAGTAATTGAACTCTAGCACTCAAGGATAATTATATATTAAATATATTTCATTATTATATATTATGCATTTGAAGTGTGTAACGCAAAAGGAAGTCAATTTTATTGATTTGGCACCAGTGTGCCGCTTGGCTATGTTTGCCACCAAATGTCCCTAGAGGAGAAATGCAATGCAAATGCGCATGTGGCACACAAAACCACCCAACAAACACACACACACACACAGAGCCTTAGCTGCAACACAGCCAGACACACAAACAAACATACATACAGATGTGCATATGTAAAAATAAAGTAAATACAAACATACATATGTATTTACAACAGCAGCGGAGAGCGCCAAACATTTGCTCTCGGAACGCAAAACTGTTACGTTTGCTTACCATTTTGGCGCGTTCCCGACTGCGCGACTGCGGCAGCGACGCTGACAGCGACAGTAACGTCGACATCGATATGGTTTTCGCAATAGCAACAGCAAAAACAACAACAACATTTTGTGGCCCGCACTCTCTTTCAGTTAGCGCGAGCCGAGCAAGCGAGCCCCATTCAGTCGGCGTCGCAGTCGCCGTCGCTTGCTCATTTGTATTTTGTTGTTTTGTCTTCCCACCTGCGCGCGCTCTCTCTCTGTCTCTCTCGCTCGCTCGCTCGCTCACTGCTGACGACGACTGGCTGTGTGTGTGTGTGTGTGTTGTGTTTGTGAGTGGGGCGCGCGCGCGCCTTTGCCAGAAGCATCGGCAATCGACATCGACGTCGACGTCGGCATCGGCAACGACGTACGGCGTACGACAACGCACGCTCGCTGCAGTCGCGTCGCAGTCGCCGCCTGCAACGTTTGTTTGCGCCTAATAAACACTCGGGCAGTGCTTTTTGTGCTGACTTTAGATTTTAGTTTCGCTGATACCGTAAGAGATAAATGACGTGCCGCGGCTAAACAGCAAACCTAAACACACGCAAAACACACACATTCACACACACGCACACACAGATACGCAGATACGCACGCAAACACACACAGAAAACAAGAGCTAAAACAGCAAGCGAGCAGAATTTGCTGTTGCCTTTTTTATGTTTCCGCATTCGCGTTGCGCGTTGCGCGATTTTGCCACTCAAAAATGTGTTTAACTGCAGGCGGCGCCGGCCAACAACAACAACAACAACTAAAACAAGTCTGCAGAATTTGTGCAAAAATATACCTCAGAATTGTAACATAATATCCATAAAAAAAAAATTACAAAAGAAAGAAAAATATAATATATATATCCATATGTGCAACGTGTAGCAAGTATCGTGTCTAAGCCGTATATATATACATATAGAGAGAAACTGCTAAAATGATAATGGTGCAACATTTGGTGGCCGCCACGGCGCACAATTTTGCGACGGCGGCGATCTCCTCCTCCTCATCATCTATCTCCAGCTCCAGTTCCAGCTCGAGCTCATCATCATCATCGTCATCGTCGTTATCATCGTCGTCATCGTCATCATTATCAACATCCTCGCTGTTGTCGCTCTCATCCGCCTGCTCCACATCGTCCTCGGCTTCGGCGTCGGCCTCTCCGGCGGCATCGCCAACAGCGGCAGCATGTGCCACGCCCACGCCAACACCAACGCCCACGCCAGTTGATTCGCCGACATCACCAGCAACCGGCAAGGATGCCGAGGACGAAGATGCCACAACGGCAACAGCAGCAGCAACAACAACGACAACAACAGCAACAACAAAACCAACAACAACAACTGCAACTGCAACAGCAATCGAAGGTGCCATAGTTGAAGTCGAAGATGCAACCAAGTCAGAGGAGCAGCAGCAGCAACAAAGTCCCAGACCGGCACCCTGTATAAGTCCAGCTGCAAAAGCAGGCGAAGATGAGCCACAAAGCGACAGAGAAAAAATGGAGGAGAAAGGCAAGGAAGAGTTGAAGGAGGAGGAGCCAGAGGTTGAGGAGGTGGAGGAGGATTCGGAGAGCATTGCAACAGATTGCCGCGAGTTCAAAGTGCTCTACAATCACCTGCGACAGCAGCAACATCAGCAGCAACAGCAACCTCCACAGCAGCTGCAACAATCCGAGCCAGATAAAACCCGCAGCACCCTCGACGATGTCTCCAAGATACTTTGGGAGCGCAAGCAGCAATTGCAGCGCAGCAGCGTCATCACCAGCAGCAACGAGTTGCAAGTGCAACACCACCAGCAACTGCAGCAGCAACTGCAGCAGCAACAGCAGCATCAGCAACAGCAACAGATGAGCGACATTGAGGACGAGGAGACGCTCGAGGAGGATGTCGATGCGGACATCGAGGCGGATGCCGACGATGAGGAACTGCTCGAGTTGCAATATCAAAACGGTTACGACTCCCCACTCGATCTCTCGCTGAATAGCTGTGCAACAGCAGCAACTGCCGCCGCCTCAGCAGCAGGCGGACCAGGGGTTGGTGCAACGGGCAGCAGTCGGCGACGTGGACACAGCTCCTACTCCGGCTCGGAATCCGATGAGGATTCGGCGACGCAATGCGAACGGGCGAGAATGCGACTGAAGCCGGCGGAACGCTCGGCGGCCTACAAGAAGAGCTTAATGAAGCGCTACTGTAAGTGCGGGTAGGGGTTAAAGGGGTGCGAAAAATACTTGCCACTAATCTATGAATCTAGGAATATGGATATATGAGATATTGGATAGATGATATAGAAGAAAATTACTTGAATGATCATATGATATAGGATTTATGATATACTCTGCAAGATGTGTTAAGGGGATTATGGAACAACAGAAATACTTGCCACTAAAATGCCTATGAAGCTCTATGATATATGATATACATATATATGGGATATGTGATATATGACGACTTATCAAGATATATATAAAATGAGCATATTAATTTATTCGCTCGATATTTTTATGTGGCTTCATTTATTTCTTTTTGTTTTTATCAAGTTGTTGAAAAGTTCGACTGGGCTACAGCTTTTATCAACAAACTTCCAGAAAGGTGTACTTGACTTAATTATTTATAACTCTTTTATTGATAATGTTAAAAAAATATTTATTTAACTGGGTGTGACTGGGAAAAATTCCACAACAAGTTCCCGAATCACATTTATATTCAAAACACATTTTATTGTACACCCAATTTAGTGGGAAGAACTTTCCTACGATATACCCTACATCGAATTCGTTCAAAGTGTAGTTCTCATATTTAATATTTGATGTATTATTATAATGATATATTATGGTATTATAATAATGCAGGTTGCTTAGTCTTATCTAGTTCCATAGTTCCATAAACCCTGAGTGTTTTATTCAACAACTAGATAAAAACTTCCATTTATTGATTGACGTACTTGAGATTAGTAAGGGGCTTCCACCTAAATCCCACATATTATTTAGTATTTATAAGCGAACCAACGAAAAAATGCATGACCCTGTCTGGAATGTGCTTTAAGATTCGAGCATCTTGTAGACAAATACAAAATATTTGATTGATGGACAGACAGCAGATACATAAATATATGTGTGTGTGTGTGTGTGTGTGTGGGTGTTGACTGATGCCTTCTTCTTCTTCTTCTACTACTTCAAAATGCTTTGTTATGCCTCGTATTTTATGGGTTAACTTTAATCCAAATTTTGCAGTAACTTTTCGTGAAATGCTTGAAAACCATTTTAGAGTTTTCTTTGGAAATCGTCGAGAAAAAGTTGTGAAATGTCAATTTGGCAACAGCAGCAACAGCAGCAGCAACAACAATAGCAGACAAAATGTATAACGAATAAAAATCCGCACCCCCAAACCGACGACAGAAGCGACAGCCAAAACAAAAAAACAAAGACGTCCAAACGCAAAATAAACATTATTTAAAATAGCGCAATTTCCGCTGACGACGACGACGATGACGGCGACGTCGCAGCCAGCGTTGCTGCCGACGCTGTCTGAGCAAAAAAAAAAAAAAGAAAAAAGAGCGACGGCGGCGGCAAGCTTCGTAACAGTTTCCTAACCCACCTCAACAATTTTATTGATTACTTTAGGCGGCAAACGCAGAGCAACAACTACTACAACAACAACAGCGATAGCATACAGAGTCATGCGAGAGAGAGCGAGAGAGCAAGCGCTCAACTATCAAATCGACTCTCGACTTTGCTTTTGTTTTTGCTTTTGCTGCATTCGCAGTGTGCATGTGTGTGTGTGTGTAAAATGTAATTTCATTTGTGTGTGTGTGTGTGTGTTAGTTGCTGTGTGAAATAGTTTCACAGTCTGCGAACTGCCAAGGCGCCAACTGGCAACTGGGGGGCTTTTATATATGTGTATGTATGTGTGTGTATATATGTTGGCACTTGTTACATATAAATCTATGTGCGTGTGTGTGTGTGTGTGTGTGAGTCTCTGGCTCTGTTAACCCTTCAGCCAACAACTTGTTTCCTCTATTTGACACGGGCGTCTCTTTTGACTTTTGCAAGCGATTTGAGTTGCCTTTGCTCCGATTTAGTTGCTGATGCTGCTGCTGTTGTTGCTGCTGCAAGGGAATCTCGAGATAAATACGCAAGTCTTTGCCATATATACATATATGCATATATATACAAGCAGGGAACAATCTATATACATATGTATTATATATGTATCTGTGCATGGTTCTTAAAAAGGGCGTCAGGTACTTGGATTTATTTGTTTCATTGTTTTTGTTTTAGCGGAAATGCGCGTTGCTCGCAGCTAGGCAAAGTGGGCGTCACTATTTTGGGATGGGGCAAATGGGGATTGGAGATTGAGGTTTGTGGATTGAGGTTTGTGGATTGAGAAACTGCGGTTTATTGAGCACATTGGCATTGACAGATATATGCAGTTGCACAGCAAAAGCGCTAGATACAAACTAAATAGATACGTGTGCCTTGCTAGTTTTCTTTTGTATAATATTACTAATAATAAATATTAGCCCCACAATCTGACCTAATAACTTGCAATGCAATAAATAATAATACTATCGCCTTACCGGTTTTTTCTGTTGTGTATAAAATAAAATAATCTATAATTAATTGCAACGAAAACCGCAAAGACCCGCAGAATTTTCTGAAAATCAAAACCAGTAAGAAGCGGAAATATTTGACTTGTGGGGCAGCCACCAAAAAAAACCACAAAATTCTTGAACAATTTCCCCCCCAAATGACTTACAAAGTATTTGGTGTTTACTCCTTTTTTTTTTTTGCTCGTTTTTGTGTTTACGTAAAACTCTTTTGAAAAACTTTATTTGGATATTTCGCACACATGAATATATTTATGTGTGTGTGTGTGTGTATGTGTGTGTGTGTGTCCCCTTGCAAACATGCAATCATTTTTATTTTAACCTTTTTTTCCACACGATTTTTATTTCGTTTGTTTTGCTTTTGATTTTGTTTTACCTTCAACCTTTTGGGGTTTCAACCACAGCTCGCTGCTCCCGTTCCCCACCCACTGCCCACACCTACACACACACACACACACACACATATACATACATAAAAACGACTTTCAATTGCGACATGCGAGGTGAAGAGCGCAACGGGCTTATTATTATGCTCTCTTTCGCTCTCTCTCTCTCTCTCACACACTCACACTCTCACTCTCTGTCTCTCTCTGGCTTATGCTCCCTTTACATGAGTAACCAGCCCAGCTTCAGTTTCAGCTTCTGTAAGCGTGCGATTGTAAAACTTGCTATCTCTCTGTGTGTGCTTGCTATGTGTGTGTGTGTGTGTGTGTGTGTGTGTGTGTGTATGTGAGTAGCTGTGGGAAATAGTGGAAAAGAGCGACGTTATCGTCTGTGTGCGTCTCACCTCCCCCTCCCCCTGCTCGCTAACCCCCTCCCACTTTGCTGCACAACGAGGTCTGTTGCTTTGAGGCCTAACGCAAAACATTTTGAGGTAGGTTGGGAATAGATTGGCAACAACTGTATACACACACACACGCATACACAGAGTGAGAGAGAGAGAGAGAGAGAGAGAGAGAGGGAGAGGGAGAGAGAGACCGATAGAGACAGAGCTGAACGCGCGGAAAAACTTAAATTTCTCGTTTCGGCGCAAGAAATTAGCAAATCATTTTCTTTAGCTTAACCCAAATACGACTAACTTTTTTTTTTTTTAGAATTATGTAAGACGCCATGTCTCGATTTCTGTCTATCTACATATGCGTGTGTGTGTGTGTGCGTGTGTGTGTGTGTAAGTTTTGTAAGCGCTTTTAATTGCCAGACGCAGTTCTCTATTTGTTGAGTTCTCCTTATCTGTCCATTGATTACAGCATGATAATTGATAATAAGCATGAAAGAGAGAGTAAACGAGAGTGTGTGTGCGAGTGTGTGTGCGTGTGTGTGTTAGAGATAGAGAGAACTGCGATTATGTCACACGCATATTTGAAATGCTAGCCGACATTTACACACTAACTGTGGCAATATATATATACATATATTTATATATAATTACAAAATCTGATTGGATACGTTAGCTAATCAAATTGCTGCACATTTCTTATAGTTGCTGGGTAGTTTCCATTTGCAGCTTGTGGCTTCGATATTACTAATATGAAGACGTAAACACTTCTTCAGATCAATGCAAAATGAATTAGCACTTGTAATTTTCAAAAATATTGGCTCGTGACGGAAATCAGATATGAATATTGTTTACTACGATCCACACTCAGAAAAAAGAACTCTGCAGAGAAAGGTGCTAATTTTGGCAGGTGTGCGAATGGGCAGCACAAAAGCAGATGCGAAGAACTCAACAACATTGTGTAATAGCCGGAAAGAATATAGAATCAAAATGTGTATATCACTCCTCAGGCAATAAATATCACAAGCGAATCTGCGTATTAATATATATGTATGTAAATACATTTATTTACAATTGAATTGCTGCTCAAAACCGAATTTATGATGCAACCCATTTTATTAAAATGCACTTAAAATTTGTCTGAGTAGGCATAAAAATACTGGTGAACAAGTAGGAAGAATAATGCATGAATATACTGAAGAATAAGATACATTCTAGATACTCTATTAAAATATTTTAATGCCATAGATTCTGGCATAAATGAAGGAATAAGTATTTGTTTTATACAGAGAGTCCTTTCTTATATTCTCACTGCGTATACGTAATGATTCTTAGAATCTAAAGTCTATTCTTGAAACATATTACAACCATCTATTGTATACTCTTAAACAACACTCTGACATCCCTTTTAGCCACGTTGTGGTTACAGGGTATATGCTTGTATTTAACACAGAGATTCGTATAAAAAGCAATTATCCAAAAAGAAATGTTACAAAATTTAATTTAGGCAGTTAACAAATTGCGTATCAGACAAATGCGTCAATCAGAGTGCATAATATATATACTTATATATATATATATATATATATATATATATATATATATATATACATGTGCAAATATATGAGCGTAAATATAAAAAAATAAAAAAATAAATGCAAAATAAATTTCAGCACAAAAAACAAAAACCGTTCACCGAAATTACAATTTGTATAAATATGCACAAAAACAGCGATATATATATATATATATGTCTGTATTTATGTATTTGTGTACATATGCATTTCCTTTTGTATTATAAACGAGATATTTCAGTATCAAGAGTGAAATAAAAACAACAACAACCATATTAATCAGCAAAAACAACAACAATAACAATAGCAACAAAATACAACTCGTATCAATTCTTGATGCGGAAATATTGAGGAATAATTTTTGTAGTCGCTGCGTTTTTTTTTTTTTTATTTGATTTTATTGTTTTGTATATATATTTGTGCTATGGCTACTTCTTTTGTTTTTAAATGTGTCCAGTGCACAGACACACATCATATATTATAGTCAAAAACAAAAAAAAAAAGAAGAAGAAGTAGAAGAAGCAAAATAGAATAAATAAAGAACAGCAACAAAAAGTAAACACAGTCAACAGACGGGACCGCAATACAGATGCATTCCATGAGAAATTTGCTGCGAGACGACAAATATACAGATATGTCCATATAAATATATACATACACTGTGTATGTGGCTGAAAACAAGCAATAAGAATCGCACACAACCAAATATCTGTATCCGTATGTCGCGTGTGTGTGTGTGTGTGTGCGTGCGTCTCGCACTTGTCTGCATGTGTGTGCGTTATCCGCGAGACCTTGAACTTGAGACTGAATTTCCAAAAAGCACAAGCACACAGACACAACACACACACACACACACATACAGACAAAGAAATGTGCCCAGCGACGGCGACTCACAAACACAAGAACAAAAGAAACAACAACAACAACAAGCGACTGCCGACAGCGGCTTTTATTCTTTGCACCCATACACAGACACTGTGTGAAAGACAGCGCAGCAGCAGAGGCATGAAAGCCAAAATAAGCCAGCCACAGCAGAACAGGAATTTAGGCAGAGAATGACAGAGAGCGAAAGAGAGAGCGAATACGACAGAGGCAGGCAGAGAAAGAGCGCATGAGGGGAGAGAGGCAGAGAGAAAGAACTGGGAACGGTAAGTGGGAATGAACTGGGAACTGAGTTCGCTGACGGAAGCAGTCCCATGATGATATTGGCATGCGGGTGGGGAATGGGGAAGGGGGAAAGTGAGAACACAACTGGGAGCAGCAACAACTTCTACATTAGTATGTATGAATGTACATTCGTAAGTGTGTGTGTGTGTGTGTGTGTGTGTGTGTGTGTGTATGCACATGTACAATAGCCAAACAAACACATAAATTATAATATTTAAATATAGAACTTTTGAGCTGTTGTCGCTGCTGTCGCTGCTCTGTTGCTGTTGCTGTTGCTGTTGCTTTCTTTTGTCTGTGTGGTTTTTTTTTTCTTTTTTGGTGTTACTCGCATATTACTTTTGGTTAATCGGTCGACAATTGTTGTTGCTGTTGCTGCTGTTACTCTTATTGTAATTGTTATTGTTGTTGTTATTGCCTGGCAGAGTCAAATTGAAATTGCTTTCACGCTGCTGTGGAACACTCATCCTACACACACACAAAGGAATGCACATACATATTTGGATTGTTTTTTTATATTTTTTTTTATAATATTATTGTTATCGTTGGCTTCGTTTTTGGCAGTGCAATAAAATAAAATGATATGTATTTCATATTAATAAATTTTTACATGCCAAAACCAGTACTGTTTTAGCCAGAAACAATTAACTGCAGAATATTTATGAATTATTTTATTATTTATTAATTGCCAGGTCTCACTTGAAAATGTGTATCAATATTTGCTGCAGCTGCTTAAATAATATTTATTTGCTGTCAAAAATGTGTAGTTAATTTGTTTGGCTTACACGAAAAAAAAAAACAAAACAAAAAAAAAGCACCCACCACAAAAGAAATTGTTTTATTTTTATATTATTATTTCAAGCACCCACAACAAAAACAAAAACCAAAAAAACAAACAAAGCTAACACACAAAATAGGCCAATAACGAAATGACACATTAGCAACACCAACACCAACATTAGCAACAAGTTGTTGTTGTTGTTGTTGCGGCTTCCACGGAAATATCTACCAACTGTAAACAAAGCAGAAACAAACAGAAATAAAAAACAACAAACAAAAAACAATTAAGAGTTGTGAACTATAAAATACCCTCTATCATAATGATAACAACATTGTTGCTTGAGTGTTGGGTAAACCTTTCGCACACATTTTATTATTATTGTTGCTTGCTGGCTGCGTGTACATATCAACATTAAAAGTAACTAATCACATGGCAACAACAACAACAACAACAAGAACAACAACAACAACAACAACTACATTGACCTACTATTCGCAAATGCGGCTTGCTGGGCTCCATTGTGACTGTGAATTGTGGATTGTGGATTGTGAATTGTGATGTAACTGTCCCAAAACGCCGCGCACATATCAACGAGGCAGTTCAAGTCCAAATTCGGGCAGGGAAATACATAATGCCAATAGACAAAAAAAAAGGCACTAACAACTCTGCACATGACTCTACAGTTAATTGCACACACACACACACACACACACACACACACACACACGCACACACACCTATTTACACCTATGTACTGCTCATGTTGGCCAATTTGGTTTTCTCGTCTTATATTAAATTGTTTGCTTTTATTTTGATATTTTTATTTTTATTTTGTGTTTTTTTAATAGACCGCATTTTTAGAGGTCAGCGCACATTTGGCGCACCATTGCAATGCATAATGTGTAAGTGCTTAAATTGGGTGTAACAGTTATGGCTTTAACCATTTTACCCCACTTTATGCATCCCATTCATTCAAATGCCAATTCATCGAATCACTTTGCAACGCGTATGCGTAATTTGTGTTGCATATTGCGCATCATGTACAAGTCGGAGTACAAAAAATAAATTGCTAACAAATTCAAACATATTCTAAATATTGCACAGCCAGCAATTACTTCTTTGCACAAGTGCTGGCATTACGTATACGACACAGCTGTGCCATGTTACGCATACGCCTTGTTAGCCTGGTCAAACATATTGCCCGGCCACGTGAGCTTAAAGTAATTTCCGTCGTTAACAACAAAACAGGCAAACAGTATATCGAACAAATATCCAACAACCAACAACAACAACAATTGACAGGCATTTCCGCCAAGCAATTTTCAAAACAAAAAATTCTCGAAAACCCAAAAAAAAAGAAACGCAAAAAAATTATTCGTTTCGTCGAATGTTTATAGTTTCCGCCAAAGTAATAAAAGTTGAATTTCAACTGCAAAAAAAACGCCAAAAAAAAAAAATATATCAAACAGGCTGCAGTTAAATAGGCATGGGCGTAGGGGTGAAGTGTGAGGTGAGTGGGTGGCAGGTATTGCAAGCCACAGCTGATTTAGCTGCCTGCTCGCAATTTCCGTCACGACTTGTTAGATACACACACACACACACACAGCTCGATCAAATGTCTGTGTTTCTTCTTTTTTTTTTTTTGTTAAATAAATACAAATGTACATTTTTGTGCCATATTTTTACAGCAGCTTTTAAATTTTTGTAAATATACATACAGATGCAGAAAAGCATATAAATATTGTATGCATAAATGTGTATATTAATTTTTTTACATGCTTCTCATTCACCCACAACCACAGAAAGAAATAAGCGAGCAAAAACATATGAACGAAATGAAACGAGCGGCAATTAAAACGAGACGAGGCAACGAATTGTCTGTAAACTTGTGTGTGTGTGAGTGTATGTGTGTGGGCATTTAAAAAGCTGTAAAAAGCGCACACACACACACACTCAAAGTTGGCGAGCGTACAACATGCAATAATGCAGCCAGCAAAGCATAAATTGTAAACTCGTCGCCGCTTGCCAAGCAACAACAACAACAGCAACAACAACGCCGACAAGCCTTGACCTGATTTCTCTTCCTCTCTTGCTGCCAAGAGTCTCTTTGTGTGTGTGTGTGTTTGCATGTAAGCTTTATTGCTGCTGCTGCTGCTGCTGTTGTTGTTGTTGCTGTTTTGCTTTTTAGTTTTTCCCTGCACATTGCACTTGCGCGAGCGAGACAACTGTATATGTGTGAATATGCGTATATGCCAAAATGCATTGGTATTTGTCTCTGTGTGTGAACAGCTTGACATTCAATGCAGTTTTTGTTATTGCTGGCCGCTGCTGCGGCTGCTGCTGCTGCTGCTGCTTCTTCTTTCGCTTCTTCCACATGCAGCAGCCGTTGCGGCGTTTCGCATAAAATAAGTGAAAATGCACTTTTACTTTTCAAAAAAAAACGAAAGAAAAAAAAACACAACTTGTGCATTTTTCTTGCGTTGCGCCTCAATGCACAACAACAACTAAAGAAAGTGAGATGCAATTTTTTTGTTTCAGTTTTTCAGATTTGTTATTGTTGCTTTTGCCTTTGCTTTTGCTGCTTCTCTCACTCTGCATTTCTTTTGTCATTGCTTTTAACGATTGTTGTTGTTGTTGCTGTTGTTGCTTTGAGTTCATGGCTCGCCAATTTGGGGCATTTCAATTTTTGTATGTGTGTGTTTTTTTTTCTTTTTTTCTTTCGCCTCTTAGCAACTTTTGCATGTCGCTCAACTTGCTAACAATAATAAAAAAAAACAACGTTTTTTTCTGCAATTATATTTGTTGCGATTTATTTACAATTTATTTATTATTAGCTTTGCGTTCGACTCTAAGTAATTTTGACACAACTCACTTAAAAATATTATTGTTTTTTTTTTGTTATTGCTGCTAAGATAAAGTTGTTTTTTGTTGTTGTCTGAATTGGGTCGCATCATCATCAGTTGCCCGACATTTTTAAGTATTTTCGAGTGTTCCACTCAAATTGTATCGAGTGCAGCGAATAAAGCCATGAAATCAAAGAGCTAGATCACTTTCAAATCTCTATCAAACAAAATGGGCTTAAAATTGTTAAATTGTTAACTTTTGATATTTATTTGACACATATTGTGTGTGTGAGATTTTTGGTATAAATTAAATGATTATTTAATAATTAGCATACAAATTACAGCATATAAACAACAAAGTAATTTATGCACATATTGTCTCTTCTATTGTAGATACTGAAATTCCTATTGTCAAACAATCAACCAGTCCGTCACCTCACCAGCAACAGCAACAGCAACAGCAGCACCAACAACTGCAACAGCACCTGCAGCAGAATCAACAACAACAACAGCAACAACAACAGCAGCAGCAACAACAGCAGCAGCAACAGCAACAATCTTTTGGCGGTGCCACAACTCTGTTGCACATCAAGACCGAACAGAATGCGCTCTTAACGCCACTGCAGCAGAATCAGCAGCAACAACAGCAGCAACAACAACACAGCAACAATGTGCATCAACAGCAGCAGCAGCAGCAGCAACAACCTTTGGCCATACCACATCGGCCATTACTGCATAATTTACTCAGCGGCGGCGCAATTCACAATCCACATCACAGAAACTACACGACGGCCACAACAGGTGAGTTCAACACACAACACAACAAAAGACAAAAAGAGACAAGCCTCAAAGACAAACCAAGACAAGGCAGCCAGCTTGAGCACGCCGACAAGGACAATACCCTAACCAAAGCTGGCTGACATAGTAGTAGAAGTAGTAGTAGTAGAATGGGTTGCAATTGGTAGGCAAACAAATGCTGAATGATACAAGAACTTAGTTTCCAATTGATAGTTACAATGACAACTATAAATTAAATGATGTATCAAATCGGATATGGTTTAATTGCAATTAGTTAGATTGATGACTGATATAATAACTAAATGATATAATGATCCGGTCTGAAATCGATGCTGAGATAGATAAGCCTGTCGGCTATAAATGCATTACACACTCCACGACAAAGCTGAATAAAACTCTTCAAGAAAAAAAAGCTACAGAGCAAGTTCACCTTGCACACGCCCTCCAATGACTATCCCTTCGTCCTCCTCACAAGTCGACACTTGTTAATGTTATGCTTCTTGTTGCCGTTCACTCGCAGGTTCATTTCCGCCCAGTCCGGCGGATAGCGGTGTGTCCGATGTAGACAGCTCCAGTTCCGGCGGCCAGCCATGCGCCGACGAATTGAAGGCACGCCTGGGCATGCCCACATCTGCCACAACAACTGCTGCAGCTGGCGCCGTCGGATCAGGATCAGGCGCAGCAGCATCGGCAGCATCGGTTGCGGCTGCAGCAGCAGCGGCCACCCACTCAGCGGCGGCAGCAGCAGCGGCGGCGGCAGCGGCACACCTGCACACGGGCACATTTCTGCATCCGAATTTATATCAGAATAATGCGGCGAATTCGTTGCGGAACATATGGAATCGCAGTGTTGGGGGTGAGTATATTCAGTACACACACAATACATACAAACACACACACACACAACACAACACAAGCACACACTTATTGTAGTAAGCAAAAGTTCAGCAGTCGAAAAATGACAGGCAGGCGAAACGAAAATGAACAGCGCACAAATACATGCATAAATATACATACATACATAGATACATACATACAAACATGCATACATACATACATACATAGATACATACATACATACATACATACATACATGTACATATGTGTGTGTGTGTGTACGAGCAGAATCAATTGCAATAAGAATGTGTGCTGCAGTCGCGCTGCTTTTATGCTTTTGCCTCGCTTTCGTGACTGTTATGTGTGTGTGTGTGTGAGTCGTCGTTCGCTGTGTAAAATCTGTGGTCATCGACACATTGCCTTTGCGCAAATTGTGAAGGTCACAACGACAACGACAACAGCAGCAACAGCAGCAGCAGCAATGTGGCAATGCTGGCGCTGTGAGCGTCTCCCGTTTGTCAATGTATGCGTTCCCTCTCTGAGAGAGCGCCAAAAACACCAACGCGCTAATGCAACAATGCGATGCGATGTGAAGACACGAACGAAAACCGAACGAAAGCATGCGCTGCTCTCTCTCTCTCTCTCTCTGCCTCTCCTCGTCTGCTGCTGCTGCGACTACGGGCAGAGCTTGCTGCTGCTGCGCTGCTGTTATTGCTATTGTTGTTTCGTATTGGTGAGCGAATACTTTTGATTTTATTCGCTCTTAGCCCTCCTGCTCTTGCCCACCCCCCACCCTCTCGTGCAACTGGCTGTTGAATTGGGCAACGGCAGCGCCGTTGACGCCGGATGTAAAACAAAACTTACTAAATAGCATATAAAATTACATACATATGTATGTATGTCTGTATGTATGTAATATATGCAAGTGTGCACTGTGAAATACTCAAGCAGTGAGCGAACTGCGCTGCGCACAGTGGTTAACATTAGCTAGAAAGTCTACGACATGCTATGTTAACATTCATGGATGTGTGCATGTTTGTTTACAGAGAAGTTAACAGTTGCACGCGGCTTTGTCCGGGTCAAATATTTGTAACAGAGCATTAAAGTGATTTTGAGACAGCTAATTAACATACATTTTTTAAAATAAGTTGTAGATACAATTGAAATGAATTTACTCATAATTTCTGTTCCCGTTCCGTTCTCGTTACAGTGCCCGACAATTACTATGGCAACAGCGGGTCTGGCGGCGTTAATCCTGTCACGCCTGGCGCTCCCAGCTATCTGACAACGTCCTACTTCAATGCGCCAACGTCGGCGTCCTCACAGCGAAATTCAGGTGCCAACAATGGCTTTGGCACCCATCAGCATCATTCCCTGCAACATCAGCAGCAGCAGCAGCAGCAGCAGCATGCGCCGCAGCAGCAACAATTGTCACACCACCAGCAACAGTTGCACCTCCAGCAGCAGCAGCAGCAGCAACAGCAGCAACAGCAGCAGCAACAACAGCATCCGCAGTCGCAACTGCCGCATCAGTTGCATGCCACAGGACAGCATACGCATTCCACAATTGCCAATGCGGCAGCAGCGGCGGCAGCAGCAGCTGCAGCAGCCGCATCTGTTGTCAGCAGCAGCAGCGCTGTGGCAGCGGCCACAATGCTCAGTTCCGGCGGCGGTGGCACGCAGAGCGTTATACAGCAGCCGGCAACGTCGAGCAGCGTTAACTATGATCTCTCTTATATGCTGGAGCTGGGCGGCTTTCAGCAGCGCAAGGCGAAAAAGCCACGCAAACCCAAACTGGAGATGGGCGTCAAGCGGCGCAGCCGGGAGGGATCCACCACATATCTGTGGGAATTCCTGCTCAAGCTGTTGCAGGATCGCGAGTATTGTCCGCGCTTCATCAAGTGGACGAACCGTGAGAAGGGCGTCTTCAAGCTGGTCGACTCCAAGGCGGTCTCTCGCCTGTGGGGCATGCACAAGAATAAGCCCGACATGAACTATGAGACAATGGGCCGTGCCCTGAGATATTATTATCAGCGTGGCATCCTCGCCAAGGTGGATGGTCAGCGGCTGGTCTATCAGTTTGTCGATGTGCCCAAGGATATTGTTGAGATCGATTGCAATGGCGTATGAGAGTGAGATAGCAGCAAATCGAAAGAGAGCGAGTGAGACAGAGAGAGAAAGGGAGAGAGAGAGAGAGAGAGAGCATGTAAATAGGACGTGTAACCTTACAGAATCGGAAATGGAATCGGTGGCAATAGAATTGGGAGCTGAAACCGGCTAGCGGCAATAGTAGAAATATATACATATATATAGAGAAGCATCCAAACTATATACATACACCCAAACACACACACACACACACATACAAACACAAATGTGTGTGTGTGTGTACATTTAAAATTGTTTCGAAGGGGGTTATTTTGTACATGTTGAGTTTTTATCGGTTAGGTTTTAAGAGTTGAGTGGATTACACATCAGATTTAGAATGCGAGGAAGAGTATAAATTACATAGTTGCTAGGCGCATGCATATATATATATATATACACATATATATGTATATGCATGCACTTGTGTAAATGTATAAATAATATATATAAATACATATATAAATATTATGTATACAAAACAACAAAAAAAACAAAAACAAAATGCTAAACAAAAAATGCGTTAGTAATTAATGATCTATTCATTGGCTTTAGTGTTTTAATTGTAACATTTAATTAATTAATTATTATTGCATATTGTTATTATTATTGATTATTATTATTATTATTATTATTATTATATTATTGATATGATCGATGAAGAAATCTTATTGATATTTGATATGTGTATGTGTAAAATGAAAACTTATAGCTACGAATTACTACTGTATACCTATTACAAATACCTAGCCTAATATATCTAAATAACCAACCCCTTACCCCCACTTTCCTACTAAATAACTACCCCCTTCCCGCCCAAAGCACCCCAAAACGGTTACACACACACACACATACACATAGATACACTACAAAAAAAAATGCGTAGCACGAGTTCTACATAAAAAAAGGTAGTAGTTAGTTAATCGGTTAACTGTATTCGTGTGCGGTTTTTTGGGCTCATTGTTTTTGTTGCTTATTTTATAAACGGAAGATAAAGAAAGGAATCGAGATGAGATGAGAAATATTTCATAGTTTTAATTAGGTTTATATGCTTATCGATAGTTTATTTATTTAAGTGTTTCTTCTTACACCCTGCCTACAAAAAAAAAACAAAAACAAAAACAAAAACAAAAAATAGCCACAGTACACACACCCGTTCAAGGCTACTTTCAGCCAACCCAAACAACAAAAAAAAAACAAAAACAAATGCAAAAAGTTGTAACTGCTGGTCTAAACTTTCTTTGTAATTATTAACTTGTAAGTTTTGTATATTTAAAAAAAAAGAACATGAGAAAAACAGAAAAACAGAAAGAAACACAAACCACACGAACAGAACAGAGCAACAACTTTATTCTATGTGGTGCATTTTAATGAAGCTGCACTGTACAAAATGAAAAACAATGCAACTTCATGAAAACTGAACCACACGTAAACTATGGAGTTAAAAGGATATCAAACAAACTGCAATCTACTTTTGGTCTGAAGTTTTAACTGAAATATTTTTGTAAACGCTTTTTGTTACGTCACACTGCCACAACACACTACCAATATGTTAAAAAAAAAAAACAGTTCCAACTTTCAATGCAACTTACATTTACACCAACAACACACACACCAACAACAATTTTCAAACACTGCCCAAAATGTGCAATCTCTTAAATGCATAAACTAAACTAAAATTAAATGAAAAGAGAAAGTGAAAGAGAAGAAGAAGAAGAAGAAACGACAAAACTCCTAGTTCTATTCTATTCAATACATTTCTTTTATACTTTTATGTAGTTGCGTTCTCTAAGTACCTTTATCATTATCTAATTATTATATGTGTATGTATCAAGGCAAAAAACCGATTGAAAGAATGAAAGTTTTTTAACGTTTTTCTTTAATTTTTGTTCAATGATCGAGTATGATAATGATATGATATGATAATAAACGAAGTGAGTTTTGAGTTTAACTCTGTTTATTGTATACATTTTTTATGCTTATTTTTTATTTTTTATTATTAAAATAAAATTATTATTTCAATATGCATGAGTTTTATTTTCACAAATATCGATAACGATATGAAAAAAACCACATAATAATGAAAAACATACAAATATTTGCAACCCGTTACAAATTTGAAATCTACATATACCTCCCATTATAAAGTACATAAGAAATACATAAGTTACAAAAAGAAAATGAAAAGAAAAAAACAGAAAAAAAAGAAATTTATATATATTCAAAGTCTATATACCATATTTATGCTACCGAGCAGATTGAATATTTTAGATAAATTTAGATGATGCATTTTGTAGCTTAAGGCAGAAATTTTCATGTATTTCACGATACATGATTTAGATGAGGACTCAGTTTTTGAGGTTTCGCGATATGTGGGAAATGTGGGGAAATGGGGAAAATGGGAGCAGCAAGTGCGTTTATATGTCTATCTTAACATTACATACATACACATATATATTATAGATTTTTAAGAATATTGCATTAAATACAAGCAAGCATACATATATAATTCTTAATCACATTTTGAGTGCTGTAAGCATTATCAAATTTGAGCAATTTTATGTAGAACAATCGAAAGAAAACAAACTTGAAAAAAGGATGCAACGAAAATTGGTAAACCAAATCCAATAGTTTCCAAAAAACAAAAACCACAAACAGCTTTAAGCAGCAAGTATCAGATTAAATGATTTTTTATTTCTCAAATTCTTGATCACACTTGCAACAATTGAAGAACCTTATTTTTAAGGATCGTTCAACACACACATACACACACACACAAATTGCATCGAAATATTCATTTTTGTGAAGTGGAGAAAACAATTTTTGGAACCGCCAAGCTATTTATGCACTGTAATTGTATATAAACAACTTCTGGACCTCATGTTTCACTTATTAGTCGGTAGTTCCAACTACAGAAATAAGTAATTACGTACATAATTATATATACACAACAATAATATATTTATGTGTGTTGGGTCAGAACCAAAAAACAAAACAAAAACAAAAACAAATCACATACGCTGGATAAGACCAACTAAATTAGATTTGAGAAAGATGATCGCAATGCAATACGCAAAAGATCTCTAAAAAAATACTTACTTTATTGGTACTACAAAATGAATGAGAATCACGCATGGAATTAGTTTTTAAGAGTGGAGTGGAAATGGTTAAAATTGATAACGTTTGATATTGAATGCAATTCACTTTGGATATTGTTCAGGAATGGTCTCCATTAGCTAGTTGAAACGGGAAGTTGGATAGCGAATCTGTTGAGAAGATAATTGTGTAGTTTATATATAAAAATATATAATGTGCATCCATATATTTAAGCGCTATGCTTACAAGTTTAAGTTTCTTTTTAATGTACATTGAAGCGGACGAATTCGAAAACGTCTGCATTAAAATCAGCAAATGCGAGCCACAAATTAGTAATTAGAATGGAAAAGGAACGAATGTAGGTGACTAAATGGTCGAATAGGTCGAACATTAAAATGGTAAAGGCTTAATTTTAACATGGATATAAAAAAAAACAACAACAACAACCACAACTTCAGAAAAGCAAAATCGAAATCTGAAAAGAAATAGCATAATTATTTACTGTTATGGAACCGTTAGAGTTTTAAGATTTTTAGCTAAATTTTGTATATTTTAATCTACAGATTGCTATAAAAAAAAAAAAATATATATATATATATACATACTTATATATTATCTGTTTTATAAATAATATAAATAAATGAGACTAAAACAAAACTCTTTCTATTAATTAGACTACTTGTTCATAGCAATTTTTAAGAAAATTACATTTTGAAAACGTTGACAACTTGGCAGTTACGCTTAATAATGACAGAAACCTCAGTGATCTGTCACTTCCATTTAACATGTCACACGTTATATTTAAATATTCTGTTAGACATAAATACAAGGGTTGCACTTAATGTGCGATATCGATAACAGAAAATACTGCAGCACGATATATTATTGTGTGGTCATGTGGTAATGTCGATATTTTGTCATACCGATATACGGTATCGATAAGCGAAGATGACTGCGACGGCCATACTGTAAATACATATACATACATACATTTTTTTCTTTTTGTGTCATTGTGCGTTCCAAAACCAAAATCACATTTTTTGCGATGCATTTGCATTGCAAATTATAGAAGAAAAATGAGGTGTTTTTGTGTGGCGAATCGAACGGAATAACAAACAATGATAACAATGAATTGATGTAAAAGTTGCATAACAAACGTCGTCGTCGTCGTGCTCGCGTCTATGTATGTCCGTCGCTGAGCAGTCGCAATTTCCAGAAAACCACACACACACACACGAACGCACACACTGCGAACGCCATCAAAACAGCAGCAGCAAAAAGCAGATTTTTGAATGGCGTAAAAAGTGTGAAAAGTTACGAGAAAAAGCAAACAAAACGCAAAAACGAGTGTGCATTTTGCTTATTTTTTGCAAAGCAAATGTGTTGTGGCAATTGTCGATGCGCAGCAGCAGCAGCAGTAGCAGCTCAGCCAGCGTCAGCCACCTTTCCCTACCACTCCACGCCACAACCAATACCAATACAAACGCAACTGCTGCCACAGCCGACAAAGAAAAAAGACATACTGCTCTTCTTCTTGAAATTTGTACAGTTCCTACTACGACGACAACAACAACAGCAAGAACAACAACCACAACAGCACCAACACCAACAACATTTGACTCAGCTGCCAAGCCAAAACATCAAGAGAAATCATCAAAAGTGTGCGTGTGTTTTTTCTGCCTCTTGCATGTGAAATTAACAACAAATTCTAAAGAAGAAGATCGCGTGGGTGTCTGTTATATTTTCTCTCTTTGTTATTGTTGTTGGTTGTGTGTGTGTGTGCGTGTGAGCAATGAGTCTTTTGCCACCGCCCGCGGGCCTGCCCCCCTCCGCTGCGCTCTCAACGTCAGCCGGTGGCAGCAGCAGCAACAACAACGGCAGCAACAACAACAGCAGCAGTAGCAACAACAACAACAATAACCTGCCATTTGAAAAGGATAAGATTTGGTATTTTAGCACGGAGCAACTGACGAATTCGCCGAGTCGCCGCTGTGGCATCAAATGCGACGATGAGCTGCACTATCGACAAATGACAGCGTATCTGATACAGGAGATGGGCCAGCGGCTGCAAGTGTCGCAGCTGTGCATAAACACAGCGATTGTTTATATGCATCGCTTCTACGCATTTCATTCGTTCACACATTTCCATCGCAATTCGATGGCATCGGCCAGTCTATTTCTTGCGGCCAAGGTTGAGGAGCAGCCACGCAAGCTGGAGCATGTGATAAGGGCGGCGAACAAGTGTCTACCACAGACAAGCGAACAAACGTACGCAGATCTCGCCCAGGAGCTCGTCTTCAATGAGAACGTCCTGTTGCAGACGCTCGGTTTCGATGTGGCCATCGATCATCCGCACACGCATGTCGTACGCACCTGCCAGCTGGTCAAAGGTATGCACCTTATCCTCCACGATCCACTTAAATACTATTGTAGTTTCTACAAATTAAAAAATGCTCTCCGAAATGCTTGTCAATTGATTACTGACCACAGTAAATAATATATCAATTTTAGCATGCAAGGATCTGGCGCAAACCTCCTACTTCTTGGCCTCAAACAGGTATGGGCTGTCAACAAATGATATGTCGATGTGTGTGTGAGTGTGTGTGTGTGTGTACAGATTTCTGGCCAAAGATTAAACTTCTCTCTGAGAGAAACAAAAAAAGCCATTTAGCTCAGCTTAAGGCGACCCTTTTGACAACTTACCTGTGCCCAGTTGATTTTAAGTCCTTAAACCGGTAAACAGCATTGACCATTTTATGATTTCTTAGTTACCACCTAACTTACGTACAAATTTTGTTTTTATACCCTTGCAGATATTGTTAAAAATTCTGACGAGGACACATCATATATGTTTTTGATCAGGACGACAAACTGTATCAATATAGCCAGACAGACATGTCTGTACGACCAATGTGCATTGGCTATTCACTCTTCATTCTGCATTCACAAATGTGTTGAAGCAAAATGAAGCTTATATTTGAAATATCTGCGAGGGTATTAAATCTGAGGTCATCCGAAGATAGTTTTTTGTTTGTTTTGTATTTGTTATCGGTGTTGAAATAGTTCTTAAATTATTATCATATGTCATCCATTCCATAATTATTGTTTGAGCCAAAAACGATTGTCCTTGAATAAAAAAACTTGTTAAATTGTTGGATTATTTCTGTCTGTTTTGGGGGTGTGAATTAACTTGCTATAAACTTGGCTTACCAAAATAAAATGCTTGTTTTCAATGATTCGAGATGCATTTTTGGGAATATTGCGATACAATCCATTAGATGAGATCAGTGAAAATAGCACTTAATCGAGTGAATTTCACTTAAAGATTAAAGCCAGAATCTAGATGAGTTATAGACGTTAATACTATGCCAAAATGTATATGCCACTCACAGATATCGGCTCAATAGTAATTAGATTATAACTTTGATATACAAAATTGATTTACAATAAAAATAATAAATTTACAACTACCACAATATTAAATGCATATTTTATCCTCGTTCGACGCACTTGCTCCGCCTTGCAAACTCGAAAACTGTTAGCCTACATCTGACCTCGATGTGCCTGCAATATCGACCCACAGTGGTTGCCTGCTTCTGCATTTACTTGGCCTGCAAGTGGTCGCGTTGGGAGATACCGCAATCGACGGAGGGAAAGCACTGGTTCTACTATGTGGACAAGAGCGTCTCGCTGGATCTGCTCAAGCAGCTGACGGACGAGTTTATTGCCATTTACGAGAAGAGTCCCGCCCGGCTCAAGTCCAAGCTGAACTCGATCAAGGCAATTGCACAGGGAGCGAGCAATCGGACGGCGGCCAACAGCAAGGACAACAAGCCGAAAGAAGACTGGAAAATGAGCGAGATGATGAAGGGCTATCACTCCAATATCACAGCGCCGCCGGAGCTAATGAATGGCAGCGATAGCCGGGATTCATCGTCATCGTCATCATCACAGGCGGCGCTGTTGCCGCCGCCGACGATGGTGCCGCCACAGCAGCGACGCGGTGGTGGCGGTGTTCCAGGTAACTCGTCCTCTTCTACCTCCTCCTCCTCATCATCGAATCACAAGATGCCAAATTATCCCGGCGGACTGCCGCCCGAGGCGCATGGTGGTAAGTCTTTGAGTGCTTGCCAGCAACACAGATCCACACATAAATATATATTCCATCTTATTTTGTAGATCATAAGTCGAAGCAAGCTGGCTATAGTAGTCGCCCGCCTTCGTCGGCGTCGGCACAGCGTGGCAGCAGTGTTGGCGGTCCCTCGTCCTCATCCTCTTCGGGCAACAGTCAACGTAGCAGCTCCTCCAGCAGCCAGCCAGGCTCGATACGACCGCCCATGCCCATGGACTATCACAAGTCGTCGCGTGGCATGCAACCGCCTGTGGGCGGCGGCATGCAAGCGCATGGTGGTCACAAGATTTCAACAAGTTCCAAGCCGCAGCAGCCACCGCCTCCACTCCTGGACAGTCGCAGCAGCAGCAGCTCATCTGCCAGCAGTGGAGCATCTGCAGCGGGCATTCCATCGAAGGATGGCAGCAAGTCGAGCAGCAGCAGCAAGATGTATCCTAATGCACCGCCGTCCTATAGCAACAGTGGCGCCTCCAACCAGCTCATGTCACGCGGTGGCTACCAGAGCAGCAGCAGCGGAGGAGGAGCCGGTGTTGGTGCTCCAGGTGGTAGCAATGGTGCGCCGTTGCCGCCGCCCGCTGGCTATGTCAGCCATAGCTCCTCGCATCGTAACAAATCCGTCACGTCGTCCAGCTCATCGTCATCGTCATCCGTCCACAGCATGCCGCCTTACGAGCAGCAGCTGCCATATGGCCAAAGCCAGAGCGTGCCCCCCAACTACAATCATATGCAACAGCAGCAGCAACAACAGCAGATGCCGCCACCTGAGGCTGCCACACAGCCGCAGCTGAGCAAGAACAACTCGTTGTTCAGTCCGGAGTGGAATGACATTAAGAAGGAGTCGCAATTCAATGGACTGCTGCCGCCGCCCGATAGTCTGGGCTATAAGCTAAGCAATCATGCGCGGGATCGGGATAGCCCCAAAAAGGATCGCCTTACGCCCACCAAAAAGGACAAGCATCGCAGCACGCTGCCCCACAGCAGCAGCAATAGTAGCAACAGTAACAGTAACAGTGGCAACTCCAGTAGCAGTAGTAGTAGTGCCCCCAAGACGATGCTGCCACCACCGCCACACAAAAAGTCGCATGGAGAAATGCTGGCATCAACCGGGGAACTGGGCAACAGCAATCTGAAGCGCGCCAACGAAATGTCGGGCAGCCAATACGGCCTCAACAAGATGGATGAGCACGATGGCAGTTTGCCGCGCGACAAGGTCCGCAAAGTGGACACGGGCGTCAATTTGGCAGGCGGCTATCCGAGCTACGAGGACAAACATGTGCCGTTGTCCATGACGAATGGCGGTGGCATTGAGACGACGCCGGATCTGGTGCGTAGTCTGCTCAAGGCGAGCCTGTGCACAACGAATGCCTCGCTGCTGAAGCCCGATGCGCTCACCATGCCCGGCCTGAAGCCGCCCATTGAGCTGCTGGAGCCGATGCCGCCAACACCGCCGTTGCACATGAAAAAGGAGTCACTGGGCACGCCCATAAACCTCATGGCTAGCAGCAATTTAACGGCGCCATCCTCGATGGAGCTGGGTGCGCTTACCAAACTGGATGGTGGTGGTGGTAGTGATGGCAAGGATCTGGATGGTGTTGGTAAGTCGGAGAAGAAGAAGAAGAAGGACAAACATAAACACAAAGAGAAGGACAAGTCGAAGGACAAGCCGGACAAGGAGGAGCGCAAGAAACACAAGAAGGACAAGCAAAAGGAGCGCAGCAGCAGCAAGGACAACTCCATGGACTCTCTCAAGCTGGTCATCAAGACCAATACGGCGACAGATAATCCCAATGGCGCCGCAGCTCCCCTCAAACTGAAGATCAGCAAGAACAAGGTGGAGCCCAATAATTATTCAGCTGCCGCTGGACTGCTGGCGATGCCAACAGCGGCTCCAACTACGGGCTTTGGCATGGCGCCGCCAGCGATAACACCAGTCCAGCCTGCACCCTATGGCGGTGGCTACAGTTCATCCAATAGCAACAGCAGCAGCAGTCACAGTACCAGCGGCAAGAAGAAGCACAGCGATCGGGATCGCGACAAGGACAGCAAGAAGAGCAAAACTCAAGACTATGCCAAGTACAATGGAGTCGGTGGCGCCTATCCACCACTAGGCGGTGCAGGCGCCGCATCCCAATTGCTGGCGGCGCCAGTCTCCAATCTTCTCGGCCTGCCCGCCAACATGACGACAGCGTCGTCCACGCCCAACACAATGCTGATGGCGCCAACGGGCATACCAACTTCTGCTGCTGTTGCTGCTGCTATTGCTGGTGGTATTGGTGGCATTGCACCGCCTCCTGCGCTGCCCGTCTACAACAAAAAGTAGTTGTTGCTGTGATGATCGTCATCATCATCATCATCATCATAATCATCATCGTGATCAGCATCAGCTTAGCAGTAGCCTTGTCCCAATCCCTCTCCGTTTCTCTTCAATTAACATACATTCATATACGTTTCACCTTTTTTATCCCCTCTTGATATATAGTTTGTATGTATAAAAAGAAAAAACAAAAAACACCTAGTAAGCCTACAGTAGTCGTAATTGTTGGTTGAGATGCATTAGTTGCCTAAGTTATTATGGATCCATTTTTAGTTAAGGGCAAAGAAAAATCCACAAATATCGCAGCATCGGCAGAAAGCAGAAAGCGAGCAGATCAATCCGAGAGTAGTTTGGATTTAAGCATATATTATATGATAATCAAGTAAAACTCGAAGCTGAAAAAAAAAACCTTCGCAAACTTTTGTACAGCATTAATTAATTTGTAATTTTAACATATATAACATACACCTACACACTCACAAACACACACACACACAAATACACAGAATAATTGTAAACGGAATAAAATGTAAAAGTAAAACTCATTTTTCGATTGCGCGAAGAGTTTGCCGAATTCTACGCAGCACGGCCGTTTAGAATATAAGTTAGTAAATCAAATACCCATACAAATGCATATTGACACACACACACACACCCAACACACACACACACAGCCTCACTGAACTGTTTGTATATAGCCACAAGAGAAACAATTTCCGCTTAGATAAAAATACGGCCCTAACTAATGCAAAAACAAACAAAATGTACTCAAGTTTTGGAAAACAATCTATTCAAATATATAGTAAAGAGAGACAGCAAGCGATTTGATTCTAAATTAAAGACGCACGTGCATAAAAAAATACATAAAACAAAGAAATAAAAAACAAAAACAACAAAAAAAAAGAACACATTTAGAAACAACAAACAACAAACGAAAAATAAATTATTTGAATTAAAGAATAGTGGAAAATGAACGCCGTTAAAATGTACGACATTAATTTTTAGTTAGCAAAGTTTTACGTTTTTCAATTATGATTTTTAGAATTCGTATGCATTAACTTATAATTTTAAATGTATGCAGCAAAAACAACAGCAACACACAACAACAACAATAACAGCATCAAACAATTAAATGTTTTAGTGAAGGAAATATGTTTAAGCAAACAAGATTGAGTCGTCGCTTAAATTTGGCGTAGCTTTCAGTTGTTTTTAATATATTTTTTATTTAATAGCATTAAAGCGCATATGAATAATAAATTGTTGTGCAACACAAATAAAAAAAACAAAAAAAAAAAAACACAAAACACAAAACGTTTGAAAAAAAAAAATATAAGCGAGTAATCGCAGTAATGTTTCGAACATAAGTGAAAAAAAAAAACAAGAATAAGATGACAAAAATTAAAATAAAGCTTTGAAAAATATATGAAATTAAGCGAAAACAAAAATACCTATATCAAAAGGGAATAAAAAACTTATGTAATTTTCGACTAGAGCAAAAACAAACAAACAAACAAATTTAATCAAACGTTGCGCGTTTTCGACACACACACTATTCGATTTCTAAATAATTGCATTAAGCTATCAAAAACAAAAAGAACGTAAAGCTATATACTAAACTACACACATACAATATACATAATACATATTCATATTTCGGAATGAAGCAAAAATGTTATTTAAGTTGCGAGCAAATTTCCAAACCTTGCTAATTGCTAATCCACAACAACCAGCAACAGCAAAAGTTAAGGTATACAAAACAAACAAACAAACAAAACAAAAAAAAAGAAAAGCAACACGTAATTATACCCGTAATTTGTATCTATTAATTTTCCCCCTCTTAACTTTTAATTTTTGTACATAGATCAAAAGCAAAATGAGAAAAAATGGCGTTCGCCGAGCGCGCAAATCTCATCTTGGGTTTCATTGGAAACACTTTCGAAAATGAATACTTGGGAATAATGTTTGTGTGCTTGCCACGAAAGCCCGAATAAAAATTTCAAAACCTAAAACAAAACAACAATAAAAAAAAAAAAATTGGAAAAACATAAAAATCACAATTAGCAGTTTTATTTTCTACTCCAAAGTCGAAATGTGTGTCCAGATCCAATCCAAATAGCTGGTTACACGAGTGAATATGGTTGGAAAACCAATTTCACAGCCCATCGATAGGCCAAATGATGTGATACCAATTATATAGTCAACGTCATCCTCTTTGTTGACCAAGGGACCGCCAGAGTCGCCGTGGCAGGTGGATTTACCGCTGGTCGTGCTCATGCAGATCATCTTCTCGGATAGGGAACCGCCCCAATACATCCTGCACCGACTGTACGGCATCACGGGCATTGCCACATAACGTAGCGTCGGTGAGACGGAGATGGAACTATCGCTCTCACGTCCCCAGCCCGAGGCGAAGGCCGTCTTATGTTCATAGTCGGAGTAGCTGCCATTCAATCCCCTTGGCAAGTGGGCAGCTCTCACCCGATCGTTGTACTCAACATGAGTGGGCAGCTCTATCAGTGATATATCATTGGCCACAGTGCTCAGGGTCCAATTGGCGTGCACTATAATCCGTGACTGCTCCACCTGGATGCGTTGCTGTCCCGGCTCGTCGCTATCTGTGATGTTTATGGCACCCAAGTAGACAGTTGCACCCACAGCACCATCCATGCAATGGGCAGCGGTGAGGACCCAACGATGGGCAATCAAAGTTCCTCCGCACCAGGTGCTCGTATTGCCGTAGGACACATTTAAGCCCACCTGGTAGGGAAACTGACCCGCCACTGCCAGTTCACCGTTCGTAATGCGATCGGCAAAGTTAGCCCCAGTCACATAGAGCATATATAATATAGTAACAAAAAATATAAACTTCATTTTAATAAGACCGTTTACAAATTAGTAACTGCATTAAACATTTACATTGGTTTTATACAGCTGGCGAGGCTACATCGCCATTGCGTGGAGTGCCTTATCACAACAGCTTAAACCTCAATACTTGACGATTGAGAGTCTTCACATGATAGTCCAGATAATTTCACAGTTGCTCAATCGAGTATCAATCCCGAAAGTAATCAACAGTGTTGTAATATATATAGTTCCCATTGAAACAAGTGGACAGTTCTTATACCCTTGTAGAGTGTATTATAATTTAATCGCGAAGTTTGCTACCCATTAAGAATATAGGTCTATTTATATTCTTGATCAGTAAACTTGAACTATAACTATATTTTTGGTGCAGTCAGAGCAGAATCGATCTGATAACTGTACAGTTAAGTAAAAACGTCGAAGGATAAGTTGAGGGATCGAAGCTATTTGCTTATTCCTATTATACATTGATTTTTTAAAACAATTTTTAATTCAGAACATTCTTTTTACGCTTAAGAACCCTAATAATATGATTTTAATGCCCGTGAACAATTAATCGGTTAATATATATATATAAATATAATATATATGAAAGACAGATGAATTTAGCTGCACCGTCTTGTAATGTCAAGATGTCATTAGAGTAAAGTATATCAATCCAAAAACCATCAACAGATACACAAATTTTTAGATAAAATTCATTTTTATTATAATTTCAAATATCAACAATTGCAGTTTAGTTGTTAACCACACCGCTCTTCTCCTCGATCCAGTCCAGATAGGCTGTGACTCTGGTGAAGACAGCTGGGTAGCCCTTCTCGCAGCCCAAGGCTAGACCGAAAGAAGTGGCACCAATCAAATAGTTGATGTCGCCCTCCTTGTGAACCAATGGGCCACCGGAGTCGCCGTTGCAGGTGGACTTGCCGCCCTTGGTGCTCATGCAGATGACCTTGTCGGTGATCATACCAGCCCAGTAGACGTTGCAGGTGGATGGCTTCATGATGGGCATCTCAACGTAACGGAGGACGGGAGAGACGGCATCAGCCTTATCGCTATCGAGACCCCAGCCGGAGGCAATGGCCTCTTCGCCCTCATAGGTCGAGTAGTGGCCATTCTTCTTGGGCAGAGTAGCGGCACGGACGCGATCGTTGAACTCCAATCGTGCGGGCAACTTCAGGAGAGAGATGTCATTGACGACCTTGGAAGGATCCCAATCCTCGTGCACAATGATGTTCTTCTTCTCCACATGAATGCGCTGCTGTCCGGGCTCCTCCTCCTTGATTTTAGTGGCGCCAACGTAGACAGTGACTGAATCGGCACTATCCGTGCAATGAGCAGCAGTAAGGACAACACGGTCAGAGATCAGGGAACCACCGCACCATGCTCCGGAGCTACCGATCGCAATGCTCAATCCCACCTGGTAAGGAAACTGACCCACATGAGCCACATCACCATGGGTGATGCGCCCATCCATGGGTGCAGCCACCGCGGCGGCCAAAAGAGCAGCAAATGTAACAAACAACTTCATGATCCGCAGTTAAAGAAACTTCTTGATTGGCCAGTAGAGAAGCCATCATTTTTATAGGGTTCTCTAATCAGTTAGCGGGAGGAATATATCTAATCAAAGTGTCTCTCTCTTGAGACAACCCCTCGAGAGCATGATAAGGGGCGCGTGCTCTGATATCAATGTAGTATATTTATATTGACTATTATGTTGACAATTATACATTTTAATAATTAGTTTATAAGGTTTCGCAACAACAAAAAAGACGAAAATTAATTAAAAAATGTGATGCACTGAGTATTTTAATCAAAAAACATTCATTGACTTCAACTGCTTTTCACTTTTGTCCCAAGTACATATTTAGCAATAGATTGAAATTTCACAAGAATTAATTTTGAATGAAAATACAAGAGAGCAGTCGAGTTAATATTACGATCTTTACTTTATCTTAATAATATAGCAATTCGCAAAATAAAACAAAATCAATGAATCATTTTCAGTTTAGTTGATTAAAATGTTAAAGAGCAGAAAACCACTTGACAATGTTGATTAGAAAATTATCTATAAAAGGGGTTTGTTGAATTGACCAGTTTTCAATGCTTAAAGCATTATTGTCATGAAAAACACTCGCTGTATTTACTCTGATGCCCAACGCCTCCTCCTTATATAAGATATACCGCATTGGGAGGCAGGTCTAATCGATTGAAGCTTCGAGAGCATAACGATTATTCAAATTAAAAAACAGGTTAATGCCGAAAAAATCTTACCAAGTCTATTGATGTCTCAGAGAATAAAATTATTCAAAGCATACTTTTAGGATGCGCAAAGAAAGCGACAACAATTGCTATGCAGGAAATAACCGGAACTCGGTGAATCCTTGACATATATCATATCAAAAGGCTTTACAACTATTGAAATGTATCCATATTTATCTTTATTAACTATATATTTATGTTTTTGTGTAGTAATATTTCAAATCAATCAATCATGTTGTTTAGAGTTAAACACTTTGGATGCGCCGCTGTCCATGCTGCTCTTCCTTGAGCGCCATCAAGGAAATTCTCGGAATCAGCAGTATCAATGCAATGAGCTGAGACCAAGGTACCTACGGAAACTACGATAAGGAACACGTTCATCACTATCAATTTTGTGTATATATATTGACTTATATATTATTAGATTTCAATGAACTTGTTTAAATGATTAGATTCTATCGTTCCGCTGGAAGATCGTCGGAATTAAGTGTTAAGAGCCCACCAATGGGAGTCTTATCAAATTGTTCATTCATAAAGATCGATTCGATAGTTAGCAATAAAAGGTGCTCGTTAAGTTGACCACTTTACAGTCTTCAGAGTACTCATCATGAAGATACTCGTTGTATTTGCTCTGGCTTTGGCCTACGCCTCAGGATCGGCTCTCCGCGGCGAGGAGGGTCCCGTTCAGGATGGACCCGATGGCCGCATTGCCAACGGAGAAAAGGCCGAACTTTGGCAGTTCGATTACCAGGTTGGTCTCTACGTGAAGAATGGCAAAACCTATTCCTGGTGCGGTGGTGCCTTCCTCGAACACGCTTGGGTCTTGACCGCTGCTCACTGCGTAGATGAGTAAGTTTGAATGTGGTTTCAAATGAATTTACGCTAATCCTCTCTCTATAAAATGCCAGTATTGAATACGTTGAGCTCTAATTTGGCGCCATCAGACGTTTCGTCAGCCAAATAAAGCGCTACGCTTACCCGGATAGCATCCTCATCCACAGTGGCTATAACCGAAAGACTATGGCGAACGACATCGCTCTGATCAAAATTACAGCTGTGCAGTACTCTTCCGGAATCTCTCCCATCAGACTGCCCAGCATGCAACCGCCCTACGCCAGCTATGTTGATGAGAAGGCTGTCGCTACCGGCTGGGGTCGCACCTCCGACTCCGACCAATATAATTCTGATGATCTTATGTACGCGTACATGGAGGTCATCTCCAATGCAGCCTGCACGAAGACCTATGGTGCGAGCATCGAGTCCTCCAACATCTGTGTGTCCACCACATCTGGCGCCTCCACCTGCGGCGGCGACGATGGCGGTCCCCTGGCACTCGACTCGAAGATACCCACCCTGATCGGTATTGCCTCTTTTGGTTCCCAGAAAGGTTGCGAGAAGGGGCTGCCGGTAGCCTTCACCCGTGTGACCAACTACCTCGACTGGATCCAGGCCGAAACTGGCGTCGCTTATTAAGCCGAAAAGTTCTATTTAATAAAGGTGAAAACTTTGCAATTATAAATAGAAAGAGACGATTATAATTTCATAAAACGGCACTAATAAACTCGAAAATATTTTCCCATACATCTTTGAACATTAATATTTTTGGCTTTAAATTTGTTTTTTTTTTTTATTTATTTTTAAATTTCTTTTTAGTTGTTTCCACTTGTCTCATATTGAAACAATTATATTTTTTTTTGCATTTTCTTTTATAATTTGACTTTAAAGTTTAGTTTTTATATAGGCTTTTGATATATCATCAATTGTTTTCATATTTTTTATTGTTTCTTTAAACATTTGGAATGCATTATATAATTTAAATATAACAATATACAAATATTTGAATTGCGATTTAGTGGCATTTTGTTGTTGTTGTTCTTGTTGTAGTTATTTATTAACTTTTATCATTAAAAATTGGAGAGACTTATGCACAGTTAACATTATCATTTTTTAAATACACATAAAGTTATACAGAATACAAAAGTTACCTTTTAATGGTCATTATCAGATGTCAGTTATCAGGCATAACTTCTTATATGAATTTGTTACAGACGAATATCGCATAAGATTAACAATTATAAAAAATCTTTATATAAGATATATTTTTGTTTTTCTCCTTCTTTTCTTCATATTTGTTAATTGTTTCGTTCTATGTATGTGTTATGTGTTATGTATTTAGTTCATAAATGATCGCAGGCAATGCATGTTAATTTTGTAGTTTATAAAGGTTTTTCTACTTTTTACAATTGTCGGCAAATGCGAAACCCAGGATACAATAATAATAGACCCATTTCCTTTATGCTTTTGGGACGTTTATATATATATATGCAGCTCCAATTTGATGTGAACCTTAGGCCTTGCAATTGGAGAGTGTGTGTGCTGTGTCTGCTTTCGCCTAGTTAAAAATACATACGAAACAGCACTAAACTAGCAAAAATGATTATAATACAAAAGCAAATGAACAAATAAGTACACGAGTGAGTGGCGGTGGTGTTCCAAGCATTAGTTGCAATACGGTTGCCCTGTTGCTGTTGCAGTTGTTGTAGTTGTCGTTGTTGTTCTTCTTGTTGTTCTTCTTGTAGTCCTTGTTGTGATGTGTAGTGTCGTCGTTGTTGTTGTTGTTGCTGCTGCTGTTGCACTTGCGTTTGCGATTGCTCCTCCAGATACAAGTACTGCACTGTTTGCCATAGCCAGAGACTGTCACCCACATTGCCAACGCCGTCGCACACAGGGCCAGTGTTATTAATCAACACCAGCAAATCCTTGGCTGCCCTCAATGGCCTTGATCAACTTATCCTTCAACTGCAGATAACCCTCATACGGTGGCAGGTCCAATCGATTGAAACTATGAGCGCATGCGATTAATTCAAATTCTAATTTAGGTCAACGCCAAACACAAAACTCACCAGGTGTGTGCACGAGGAAAATTATTGGGGGTGCCCCACTTCTCAATTGTGAACATTTGTGGACCATTCGACCCATATAGCTCCTTAAAGCCATTCATTGGCACTCGCGATGTACCTGTGACAAATTGCAGCAGACGCGAACGCATCTCATTTGAGAAGGACAGAACGGCACGCCAGAACCATTGGATAATGATGTGATTCATGTGATAATCGCCCTTGTATAACGTATTTTCACGCCAATCCTTCACATCAATGTTCTGTATGCCGCACATCAACAACTCCAGTTCATGCTCGTCAAAGATTTTGATCAGATTAAGGGGTATTATGGAACCAAACCCATCCAAGAAAGACGACATTTGATCCTTAACGCGGGCCACGAAACGCCACTCGATTACAAGTCTTAAGAGAATGAGAAAATATAATGAAATATATGTCCTTGTGAGTATAACCATAGTTAGATACTCACTTAATGTATTCATCTTTGTTGTCGTTGGTCACATCAATATTCGCGCCACCCGGTTTGAGTTCATGTTGACTCTTTTGACCAAATACATCCTCATCGAGGCAGAATGTCAACTCCAGAGTGCGTGGATCGTTCTCCTTGATCCACATCAGCGAATTATAATATTCAGTATCGACCGACTCCATATCCTTTAGATCAATGGGCTTTTGCAACATCATCTTATAGAAGGGACGTATAAAGAAGGCATCTAACAGTTTTCCGTGGTACACAGCCATGCCAGCAATGCGACCAATAAATCTACAAGCAATTTATATTCAAAAATAAAACAATTCCCAATTCTAAAGATTATAAACTCACTTGAAATAACTTAAGTGCTCCTCATTACACAAACCGCTGCCGTTATTGATTTGCAAGGTGTAGTTATCCATGGCGGAGTACTCAAAGAGTCCATAATATGGATTAAACATTTCCTTGGATAGTAAGTAGAACCATTCTCTAGCAAGTCCACCATAATCTGTTAATATACATCAAACACTTTGTTAATGACAAACAACAATTCGTTGTTAATAGAGAGCTTACCCAAGCCCGTTTCTCCTTCGAACTCTACCCATAATTTAGTCTTTAGCAAATCAGTTTTCGTCACCGAACTAATAATTCTATACGAATCCTCCAATATCGATGTACGGCGAATGCGTATTTCAAATTTATTTGGTACATTGGTCTGCATTAAAAGTTTAATTAGTTAAATACCAAATAAGACAAAAGGAGTAATGCTTACAGGCTTTCTAATATGACTTTTGAAATACTCATATTTCTGTTTGTAATCTCGCGAATAGGGCACCGCTTGACCAGCTATATTTGGATTTGATAGGCGTGGATCCTCCCACTGTGTGGTGCGCGTATCTGCATAGATTAGATAGTGGATTAATAGTTTGAAATGTAGTCCGTCGTTTGGCAATAGTGCTTACTGTGATCTATGTAGAAGACGCGACCATCCGTGTGCACACGTTCCTCCCAACCCTCGGGCAGTGGTCCCAGATCGTCCTCGACACGTCGAGTCTGATTTGGCATGGGACTGGCGCGTCCATTGCGCGGATCAATCCAAGTGGTGCGCCGTGATTCGTGATCGATGAAGAAGGTGCGTCCATTGGGTGCCACCTGCATTGACCAGCGAGGCGGTAACGCTTCCTCCTCAGTGGCTGCGGCCTGTAAGCGAAAATAGGATTATATTATTATTCATTATTATTAGTCAATTATCGATTACACTATCTGGAATTGAGATTATTACACAGACTGTTGGCAAAACCAAAAGCACATGCGTTATTACATATCATGTGCATATATAAATATATATGTATTTATTGTGGAATATAGAATGAAACTTTACTTGATCCGATGGCACAGCCGCGTTGTCTTCTTCGGAATTGCGTCGTGTGGACGGAGCTGAGATCTCTGAGGGATTGTGGCTGTCTGTGTGATCGGTGTCTTCACTCTAATTTTGATATGGATGCAATTTATTGCGTAAATGTTTTGTAGTTTTTTGTTGTTGTTGTATTTTTTATGGCAATTGGAAGAAACAGAAAATAAAAGATTTCAAAAATTATAATTAATTTCTTCAAATACTAAAGCACAACAAAACAAAAAAAAAATCAAAAATTCGAAGCACAAAAATAAATATATAATGCAAAGCCAATATGGAAGACCACAAAATATATATACATACATACATACATACATATATATATATTTCTTAAATAGCCAGCAACTCAAACGATACAGATAGAATGTTGTATGTATTGTGTGAGGTTTCCTTTTCATTTTGGGTGATTTATGATTCACGATTTATACAAATATGCAAGACGGACACACTACAAACATGCATAATTTTACAAATATTTATTTGTTTACATTACAAAGCCGATAATAACTAGTTGTTCTCGAGTTTGCTGTCAAACAAGATGATGTGCAATTTCGACTTACGCTGCTTACCCCTTCAACAACCCGAATCCAAAAGAAGCTTATCCACTGACACATTTGATATTAATGGGAATGTGTACATATAAATTTGGAATCTAAAGCAAACTAATTTTTGTCTATGTCAAGTTCATATCAACAGCTCAAAATGAATGGGATATGCACAGCCACCACGGGAATCGATGAGACGAACACAAAACACAGTCTACAACACGACAGGTTAATACTAAAGTTGTTTCTAATATGTGTGTGAGTGTATTTATGTAGCGCAGTGTTATGCTAACCAATTGCCTATTCTGCTGCTGCTGCAGTTGCAGACGTCGTCGTCTCTGCTGCCTGTTGTCCAGTTGATGGCGACCCAAACTGTTGTCGTTGGCGCGGCGAGTCAATAGATTTGTGATTGCCATATTGACAAGATTGCCATCGGGTGTCTCGCGCACCGGTCGCAAGTCATTTTGCAAACTGCTCGCTGAGATCTCTGGCCTGCCACTGTCGCGATGTTGCAGTGAGTTGTAAACAAAACTGCACTTGTAAAAAGAGTTGAAATTGAGACAGAGTTAGGAGACAGCCATCGAGCAGTTGTCCCGCTGCCAGACAGAAGTCAGACTCAACAACATATAACACCAACAAGAGTTTTGAACTGAATTTCACTTGTGGATTTGGCACTTTTTTTTTTGGTGGATTACGAATGGAATGGTAACACAGAGTTGCGTGTATATTAACCTGGCATGATCCACTATTTCGTTGGGTTCTGTCTCAATTTGGTCATTCATTGTATCACAATTGTCGTTGCTGCTGTTGCTGCCTCTGCGGCTGTTGTTGTTGTTGTTGTTGTTAACTGATGCCTGTGACTGTGAGCGTGAGATTGTTGCTGGGGTTGTTGATGCTGTGGCTGGCGTTGAATTGTTATTGCTCACATCCTAATTATATATATATATACATATACATGTACATATGTCATACATCAGCAAATAAGTTATGAAACTAATACTAAATGTTTTTCAATGAGGTAATGTGAGAGCAGAGCATTTAAAACTAAAGAACACTAACTGAAGATCAACTATTAAAATGCATACTTGATGAGTTGAGTGATTAGGCTAGCATTATTCTATTTCGATTCTAGCTGCAGTCAGTTCCCAAACAATATAAATATATTCACTAAAAAACTGATTGGCATTACAAACATGCGCCTCAGGTACAAGTTGTGGTCGAGAATATCACAGGTTTGGCCATTTTCCGATCGTGCTAATTGCTGAACTGTCTCATTATCTGCGACTGATTCATTCAGTTCGTCTTCCGCCTCCTCTTCATCATCTCCCTCTTCCTCTTCGTCGTCCTCGTGCATCTCGCCGCAATGCAGACAATTACACTGATCATTTGTTGGGTCAGCAGTCAAACAACACTGCTGCTCCCGCTCCTCATCCGTCTCCTCCTCCTCCTCCTCCTCATCATCCTCGCTGTCGGCGCTACTCTCATCAGCTGCACTCAGCTGCACCACCTTTGACGCTGTCGTCTTTAAGCGCTGTGTGTGTGTTTTTGTTGTTTTGTTTTGTTTTTTTTTCATTGTATGACAAGACTCACAACGTTAATTGTACAGATGATTTATGAGGTGAGTTACGTGTGTGTGTGTTTATATATATATATAGTATATATAGTAGTATGTGATAGTTAAAGGTATACATAGATATCATGCATAACAATTGAGTCAATTGTTCACAACACATGCAACATAATACATGTATAAATATTGTTGTAATTATAGTAGTATTCGACAGTGGTCTCTCAAAAATCGGCACGTTTCAGGAATATATATAAAATGTATCAGAATTAACGAATAATTGTGGCATTCTATTTTTTATATTCCATATTTTCTAATAAGTAATCTTCGAGCTACCACTGCAGTTTTGTTATGTTTGTTTTTTTCTGTTCTGATGCATCTGTTATTTAAATCAAGGCAAGAGGGATACGAATGTTGCAAGTTAGTGGTTTGGTTGCAGTACTTACCGGTCCACGCACCGACTCCGTATCATCCACACTAATGTGAAAACGTCTTTGGAAATCTGAAGCCAGCTGATCAACGTTCTGGCTGTTGTTACTGTTCAAGCTGCAAATTGATTTGACATTGGAGTTATTTGCTAATATATATATACATATATATAAATGTATATAGTATGCGCTTACATGGTGGGTCTTTCCCATTGCGTCGTGCGCGCCGTATGATTCACATAGTATGTGCGTCCATTTGCGTCCTGTCGCTCCTCCCAGCCAGCTGGCAAAGATTCAGAACCGCCGCTAGGAAACGGATGCTACAATGTAGTGAAAAGGATATTAATTAGTCAAAATATAGCAAGTTAAAAGTTGTGGTAAATGCGTACCGGTTGTGATGATTGCTCGCCAGCATTTGTAGCTTCCACATGCTCCCAGTCGCCGTCGCTTGTGTTGCTCGAGGGTTCGCTCTGTTCGCGTGTTTCGCGTATGAAGGCATGATATATCTCCAAAGTACCCTTGATGCGTGATTTAGCGCTATATTTGCATATACACACACACACACACACACACACATAGATAGATAGAAGATATATATAGTAAAGTAGAGCATTGAATGAATGTTAATGAATAAGAGCCGTTGAAGGCCAACAAATACACGACACACGATACAAATATACCACACCACCAACCAACACCAACACCAAATACCAAGCACTCGATATTTACAAATAATAACTTTAAAACCATATGCAATTACACAAAGCGTTAAATACTAAAAAAAAAAATAATAATAATAAAAGAAAACAACAGAAATGGCAATGGCAAATGGGATAATTTAGAATACTTCTAGTGCGGAATCTAATCTATCAGAAGAAGCGTTACGTTGGACAAACAACAGAGTACGAAATATCCAAATAATAATGATTGTTAAAAGCTTAGGGTAAGTTTGTTTTGTTTTTTTTTTTTTCTGTTAGCTAATTTACAATTTTGTAATTTGAATTTGGTTTCTCTTTTACTTTGACAAGTTTCTAGTTATATAGTTTATATAGTTTTTTTTTTTTAGGTTGTAGTCTAAATCAACTGAAATTAAATAAAGGAAATCAAACAGCAACTGAAATAAACATACCCTACTGACCTGCGCGGACGCAGCGTATAACTCTGGGAGCCAATCGTGCGTCCCTCCTGCTCCGTGGGCAGATTGACCAGCGTCAGCTCCACCATGCCCAGGAAATCATCGCGTGTCAAACGATTCTCGTCGAATACTTGAAACACAAGCTTGTGCTCAGACGGCTTCACCTAAGGTTAAACGAATACATTAGTTAGCTTAACTTCTCTTCATATTTCATTGTCTTTCTACTTACTCTGAATATAAACTCCTCATTCCAGGATGGATTTAGTGTCTGGTGGAATTGAAGAACGAGAAATAAAATAAGGTTAATTGAAATTATGCTCAAGTTCTAGAATAAATCTAAAATACTAACAAGAGTGAATAGGTGATCCCCACGTATGATTTATAAATAAAATCATAATATAATTGTGAAATACATAATATAATTGTGAATCCCCGTGACTAATTAGCTTTTCAACCAATTATTACTCAATTCCACCATTTTCATAATTCTTTTTATTGGACTTTGGCTAGAAAATAACTGGCTAATAATGGAAGTGAAAGGCAAGACTCAAGACAAATACAAATTGCTGATAAGATACCCATTTAATCGCGACCCCAAACCCCAGACACTTTATTCTATTTATTATTTACTTTTTCGTTGTAGTTACCTTCTTTTTGGTTTTAGTTAAAACCGAGTCAATATTTATATCACCATTGATTGTATTCAAATCGATGCGTACATATGGATCACTGTGAATTGCAAAATTATTGCTTATTTTAATTTTTATCAATGAGTTGTGAGTTTTTAAGAGCATTCCCACACTTACCTGGCGCCAAATATGTCCTTTTTGGCCAAGGATTTGCCGCTGAGCACAACAATGCGCAGGTGACACGAGTCGCCAGTGTCATTCTGTAAAGAACAAATGCAAACAAATTTACATATTAAAGAGACCGTCTGACCAACTCAAGACGCCAGTTTTAAGCAGCGAGGAAACTGAGACGCCACCCACACAAGTACCCTGAGCATGTTTGTAAGCCAACAAATGAGCCACTTGTGCTTACAGCTTGTTGAAGACACACACACAGTTGTCGCTCGTTAAATAAGACACTGTGTATAAAACAACACAGTTCCAACTCGCTAATAGTACAAATTTACAAGTCTTGTTTACGTTCAACTAATTTAGAAAGTTACAAATTTTCCACTGACAAAACTTAATCGATTTTCAATTGGTTTGAGCTCTAGTTTATGTTATTCCTTTCCCAAAATTGTACATTGAGCGGTTACAAATCGTTTATGTCAGAGCTATGTGAAAACTAATCTAATTTCTAAAGCAGCATTTAAATTTAGAAACACCATTTTCAAACATTTTATAATAATTTATAGTTGAGTTATTTTAATGCTGTACCAACAGCAGGCAATATCAAAGAGGCCCCAAAACAACTCTCCCAAAAAATGCTAAATCAATGTCAGCTGGCAGCATTTCAAAAAGATGTCACTGCATAAATCTAAGCTGGTGTGTGTGTGTGCGTGTATCTGTGTGTACTTAAGCCAAAAAACAAGCCACTGGGCAATCCACGCCACAAGCTGTGTATACTTAATGCCATACATTACGCATACGCAGCGTTGTTGCTGTTGCCTAATTTATGGATTTTAAGGCTGAAATTTAAGATGATATGTTGCATGCGAAACGTAAACCCTTCATCCTTGTAGTGTCACATTTGCGCCAAGCTGGCAGCAATTAAACGATAATTATGCATAGCACTTAACCATGGTGAAGTATTATAGCCATTTAAATAAGTTAACATTTTGTAGGTGCGTCTTTAATAATTTAACATATTCGTACAATTTTTATTCTAATTACTGTTAATAATTAAATAGCAACATTTTCTGTCCGCATTTTTCCTATGCATTTCCCAATGCATTTTCTGACATAAAAATGTTGGCATGGCATTTTCCATGAACTTGTTGTATTGATTTTCAGCGGTTTTCCCATCTTGGAATGTTTGCGGTTTGTTCACTCGCAGCTGCGCTCAACTTACTGCTGACTAGCTGCAATAGACATGGCTATTCCGATATCTGCTATCCATCTATCTATATATCTATCTCTCTATCTGTCTGAACAGCTAATGCCAAAAGTATATTACTTTTAATTATAGGCTGTTCTGAGTTCTGTCCTTCCACTGGTCAATAAGCATGTCAATGACGTTGGATACGAACCAACCAACTGAAATATGCATCAGTGGAGCGTTCGGGTCAATCACGATTAACACAGTCTCAACCGGTCAATCAATCAAGAACAGCAATAACAACAGCTGCAACCCCATTTGGTTTAAGAACATCCACCCAAGCCTTGACAACAAAGCCCCCCTTTGCTGTGTTGGCTGTGTGACACTAAGCTCTCTCTGCTTAAATTGATTTTTAGCCATTAAATCTGTCTTAATGCCAAAATGCCAGCTACAATTCATCCAACATTTATAAATATAGACAATAGAAATTATATGACTTAGTCGGATAGTGGGAATTAACCCATAATATATTGTATAAATTTATGATTACTAACAACAATGCACTAATTCGCATAAAATGCCCACGTTCTATATACATATATATATATATATATATATATATATATATATATATATAGCTATATACTTCAACTTCCAAAAATTCGTCTTTATCGTGTATTAAAAATGGGGCTGCTCTTCATATACACTATAAATTTTTTAACATGTGACCTACAAGCAAATCAGAAGCAAAAGTTACCATTGCTTTTTTTCTTGTGCTGAACAATATAAAGCAAAAAAAATGTATAAACAACAAGCGTGTTTGCTGATAAAGTGACGATTGCTGGTAGTTACAAATTGAAAAGGTCGAATAGCGGAACGGAAGTGTGATTTTGTAGGTATGTAGAACAGTTTGGATGACAATAAAGCGAAAATATGAAAATATACTCAAAGAGGACTAAACCATTAACTAAATTGATTAAATTGATTTTTGGCTCTCATCTGAAAGTGTCAGTTGTAAAAACTCATTACACAAATTGAACACTGTTATTGCATATGAGGGGGGTTCAATAAAGTTTCCCCATATTGATGGATAGCCAAACAGACCAGATTATTGAGTTTGGGGTAAAATTATGGCGTAAATATTTATCTGATTAAACAGCAAAGCAAAAAAAAAAAACACCCCTGGTTAAGTCTAAATTTAACACAAGGCGGCAACGTGTGAAATTCAAAAGGCAACATAAATTCTAATTTTTTGTACATATAAATGGACAGAAAGTAAGAATCTAGTGCAAAATTGGATTTGATGAAGTGCGCTACAGCAGTGTATAAATATTTTAAGGCTTGAGAAATATTTGCTGAACTCTTTTACTCGGTTTATTTTAGCCAAAAATAAACAAGTACTCGCTAATATTTTTTTTTCGACACTTACTTCATCTTTATGATATCAAATACCAAGGCTATAGTAAAATTCATAAGTATACTGAGACTTTACGGCTTATGTATGTCAAAATGTGTGTAACAAAAAAAAAAAAATTATTACATGCTAAAAAAAAGTTGTTATTTCTGAGCGTTGGGAAACCCCTGCATATTTATTTTAAATGTATTGTGACGGAATTATAAAATTCAACACATGGAAAACGGGTAGCTTATCTGAGCCTCGGCCTAGGCGTTGATAAAAAAGTGTATGGAGAGAGAGACAGAGAGACACAGAGAGCGAGAGACAAATAGAGAGAGAGAGAGAGAACGTCAGCCTGGCGATCTGGCGATCACTTACATCACTGTTGTTGTAGCCATGAATTTGACCATCTTCATTGGTTGTTGTAGCTGCTGCTGCTTCCGTTGTTGTGGTTGATTCAGCCATTTTATGTATATATATATATATTTTGATCAATGTGTATTTTGTTTACGTTGTTTTAAAACGCCCGTGGTAAGTGTTAATTATTGCACGCCTCTCAACTAAAAAGCATTAAACGTTGTGGTTTATACATAAGTATTTTTTTGGTTTTAACTGCATTGAACGGGAAGATGGCCATTCATTTATACATAAATATATATATTTTTTTTATGGTAGCCTGCTCTCGGCTTTTGTCGCCGTCGTTTATTTTGTTGTGGCTAAAAATTCTTGAGAACGGAACAGGTTTAAGCACGAGCAGAGCAGAATTCACAGCATTTGTTTTGTTTTTATTATCGGGGCGCAGCGCAGTTGGTTGCTTCGTTTATTTATACACCACAATACGAAATGTTTGCGTTTATATGTAAAATTAGGTCTGCAAAACCACGGCACTAAAAATATATGAGTATTTCATATATATATAAAATATATATATTTTTAAAAATATTTTTTTGGGATATTTTGTATGACTAATGAAGAGCCCCAAAAAGAGCAAAACGAATGCAAGTTAGTCGCGGAGAACGGGGACACAGAGTAATAATGCGCGATGGCGATGGCGAATCTTGTTTTCACATTGCGACGTTGATTCTTAGCTCACGACGACAAACAACAAGCAGCGAAAGGTTGGAATGCCTGCTGACTGCCTGCCCGACTGTTGCTCTTATGTGCACACACACACAGACACACATACATATATACATGCATATATTCAAACACAAACGCACACACTCACGTATATTTTTATATAATTAACACATTTTCACAGTACTGTGTCCAATAGATTTTCGAAAGAAGAAAAAACTCAACGCACGCGGCATTTATATATTTTTTGCAATACATGTATATGCATATGTATATGTGTACATAACTCAATTATTCATTTATTTATCGCTCATTAACAGGCGCAAAGCGCAAAAGCACCAATGTTAAAAATAATAACAACAACGCACCAACACTATCATCGCCGAAACATGTTCGACGTCGCTTTTCTCCCACTTTCTTGTGTGGTTGTAATATTTATACAATAACAACAACAACAACAGTAAACACTGCGGCTGCCGCTGCGCCTGTAACGGGAGCTCTCGCGTTCTAAGCTAAACTAAAAATTGTGTTCCGAGACAGTGTGACCAAATTTTTAAAGGGCAGAAATGCGATGACATGGCGATAAGGTGAGCCCAAAAGCTTTTGTGGGCGACCACTTACATGAATTATTTATTTATTTATAAATTCATTTTTTATTAAATTATAGTACATATACATATATATATAAATAACATTTAAAAGTCTTTATAAAAATTCAATAATATTTCTCCAATAGTGTGTCCATATTGTGTCAAAGTGTAAATAATTACAGTATTTTTCACACTGAAGCTTTTTATTATTGTGCGCGCGAGCTTTTTGAAAATTGACAGCGCAGCTGCTCAGCGAACAAGGGACAAAGCAAACAAAACAAAAACAGATGATATGAAGTAAATATGTAAGTTGTAAGTGTGTGTGTGTGTATGGGTGTATGTGTGTGTGTGTGTGTGTATGGGTGTATGTGTGTGTGTGTTTGTGTGTGATTGAAGTTATTACTGGACTAAATGCCAGATCAAATCAAAAGTCAAATATGCGTCAGACAATTAGGCTTAATGATAAGCGTTGACTTTATACAAAAAAAAACATGCGTATGTAAATTGCGTACATTTATTTTTCTAAAATATATATTTATGACGACAATTGTGACGCAACTTAATCTACTCTGAATCTACTCCTATGAAAATAACGAGCACGTGAAATGCAACTTGTTAAAAGGGGCTTGGCAGTGTGGCAGGGGTTGTGGAGGGGGCCTACAATACAAGTGGACACTAATGAAGATAAAAAAAAGCAGCTGCTTCGACTCTGGCAGTGTTAAATGAGTTAAGCAAATAACTTGAAATCGCTCAATTCATTGAGGCCTTAAATTACGCACATTCAGAAGAAAGAGAGAGAGAGAGGGAGAAAAAGAGAGAGATAGTTGCTAAGAGTATACAATTGATGTTGATAAATTCAATTAACAATTAAATGTTTGCGTAATTTACCAAAGGAACAAAAACAAACTTCGAAAGTCTTCGTCGTCTTTTAAGTGATTCGCTTCCAACAGTTATTTATTATTGTGTTGCTGAAGATTTTGCTCACAGAGCTAAATAAGCAAAAAAAAGAGGCATTTCTTTCATGAATACAACAGCAGCCAGCAGCTAAAAACGTGATTTATTTCAAATCTGAAATTTGTTAATCACATTTCTCAGATACGCTTATCACTTCAACTCTCTGCTTATCTTAAAATCCCCTCTCAAAACAAAGAAACACTCAAAAAATAAACACTATTAATACTAAAGAAAAGATCGCATTTCGTTAATGAAACATATAGAAAATTTTGGGTAAATAAGCACTTTTGAAAGTTAAATATATAGAATTTCATTGAATATTAGAGTACTTGAATTCTAGATGTGATTTGCATTTGCGATTAGATTGTGATTCAAGTTGTGTTCTTTGTAATAAAAATACATTTAAAATTGTTAATATTTAATATTAATATAATGATACGCCCTCAGAAACTGTGATTCAGTTTGCTTTTTGAACTGATTCGGCAAGATTAGATTTAGTGGGAAAATACCATAAAATACAAATAAATACTATATTAAAAAGAAGGCTAACTGATAAGTACCGTTGCACAGTCAGACAGCCACCTCCCACACCCAAAAACCCCCCAAGCAATTTCACCCCCTTGAAATGTTACTCACCACAGCGGCCAACGATCTACGTGGCGTGTGTCCGTTATTGTAATCTAGGCGCTGCTGCCCTTGTTGCTGCTGACCGGCCATGGAGGCGGCACGTCGACGTGGTGGTGGGCGGGGCACGTCAGCTGTGGACGAGGATGCGGCGACAACATTATTGCCGCTGCTGATATTGCTGGTGCGTGACGACATTGTGCTGCAAAAAAAGAAAACAGAAAGAATGAACAAATAAAGAAAAGAAAAAGCAATGAAAAGTATGAGAGAAAAAGAGAGAAGCGGAAGTGCATCTTTAATTAAAATGACACGAACAAGAGCAACAAGAGGTGACAATAAAACTGGAGGCTGAAGAGAGCAGCAGACAACAAAGGCACACACAAAGTACGGTATTTGCAAGTGTGTACACACAGATTTGCACTAGACATCGCAGGTGTATACACTTATGCATATGCATAGAACACACAAATGACCAGCAAAGCATAAAGCCAAGTAATTAACCAAGCGCGAAAGGTTCAACGCCGTTTCGACCTGGCCGGCTTTCGTCATGGCACCAGCAGCAACAGCAGTCTCAACATTTTATCTGTTTTATTATAATCTTTAGGTTTTATAAACACACCCACACTGACTATCGTGATTACTGGCACACAAGTTCGCTTGCTTTATGTTGTACTTTTAACTAAATTGTTCTACTATAAAATGTGCACATGTATTTGTGCAAATTATACGCTTACAGATAGATATATTTATATATATATATATATAAGTATATATATGAGGAAAATTCATCACATACTTCTCTTCGCACCAACTGCGGTTAACGCTTTGGTTTCGTTGTATTCGCGTCTCAGCCTTAAATCGCGCTTACATTTTTCGTATTAACATAAATATATTTGAATTGATTGTTTTTCTATAGCAAATCGTATAACAATTTTTAAACGTTCGCAGCCCAAACACGCCCGACCGAATCCGACAACTAACTAATTCCGATATTCTCAACGATAGCTTTCCAAAGCAACTCTGCAACCAAAGAGGAGCAGTTGTGTTTGCAACAAAGATATCGTTTAAAATACTATATTTTCTTTTTTTTGAATTTCAGATTTCTGTATACATATGACAACCAGTTAGCTTACTTACAACTTAAAACTAAAGTTAAAAACATATGTATGCATATTTAATTATTTCACTGTGGTTTATCACGAGTAACAATAACAGTTACCGTGACTGCTGCGAAAGTACTTCGATATATGCGTGTGTATAATTTGCATGCAAGTATCGTCCGTCTCTAACGAAAACGTAAATGCGAAAGGCAGTGAAAAATTTAAACGAAACAACAAATGCTTATAAATTCAATGGAATATCATAGTTAAAAGATCGATTCATGTTCAACCAGCCAATTACAATAACCAAATACCACATTTTCCATTTGCAATAAGGTCGAATTGTTAACGCCAACGAATTTGCGTGCGTGAGAGTTTTTCTTTAGTGCGTGGTAATTGCGTATTAAACAACAACAGCAAAAACGGAGCAGCTCGAAAACAAAAACTGCAAACGCTGGCAAAAACCTGAAAAACTGAACAAAGAAACAAAAAGAAGAAAAACAGAATTAGAGAAATAAACATTTTTGCAAAATTTGTATTCGATTAGCTTATATGGGTTTGACAGATCAAGATTGGATTGGGAGCGCGGTCAGTTTGACCTGCGACGACGAGCTGGGCATATTCCAGGGCCTGATCAAGAAGATCTCCGCGGAGGAGATAACGATCGTTCGCGCCTTTCGCAATGGCGTCCCTTTGCGCAAACAGAATGCAGAAGTGGTGCTCCGATGTGCTGACATCAAAGCCATCAATTTGATTGAGCCCGTCAAGGATGCTGAGACGACGGCGCCAACGGTGATTAACAAACCGACGCCAGTTAAATTGCCACATTTCTCCAACATACTCGGCAAGCAGCAGCAGCTCCAACAACAACAGCAGCAGCAACAACAACAGCAGCAGCAGCAACAACTGCAATTGCTGCAGGAGAGCGATCAGGAGTTACCTTCGACGCCTCGAACCAAAGTCAACGGCAATTATGGCAGAAATGGAGGTGGAGGTGGCGGAGGCCTCGGCAACTCGGCACTGAGTGACAAAATGCACCAACTTATGCTCAGCACAAATCAGAATGGATCCAATGGCATGCGCAGGTAATTGAAGCGTCACTGAGTCACTTTTTGGTAGCTAAAGTAGATCTTATAACATAGCCCATATTCAAGTGGAAATTTTGTATAATTTGAATATTAAAGTCTTAACTCATTTCGATTGCAGAACACCGCAGAGCTCAGGTGCATCGAGTGCTGTACAACAGCAGCCGCTGCCGCAGCAGTCGACGACGCCGAATAGTGTTGCAGCCTTTTTTGGCAACATGATACCGGCCAAGGTGGAGGTGAAGCTGGGCAGCACGGCCTACAATGCAGGCGGAGGAGGTAGCTACAGCAACAACAACAACTTGGGGAGCAACTGCAGCAGTAGCGCTGATGGCAGCTGTGGCAACGGCGAGGCAGCTGCTGCTGGCAACAGCAACAGCAGTCGACCTATTGATATCATAGGGCACAGCAACGGTGGTGGTTTCTGTAACCAAGCATCTGTCAGCTATGGCAATGGCAATGGAATTGGCAAACGCAATGGAAATGGCAATGGCAACGTCAACAGCTACAACTCCAACTCTTATACGGCTAATGGCAACGGCAATGGGAATGGGAATGCAAACGGGAATGGAAAGAATGGTAAGCGGGGTGGAGGAAATCGTGTGCGACGCGAGAGCAGCATACGACAGCAGCAACAGCAGACATTTGGCAGCGAAGCAGATGATCCGCTGCTGCACGAGGAGTTTGACTTTGAGGGCAATCTGGCGTTGTTCGATAAGCAGGCCATTTGGGATGACATCGAGTCGACGCACCAGAAACCGGACGTAGTCCGCCATGCTGTCCACGCTCAGAAGCAGAAGAAGTATAGACACGATGAGAACATTTTGGTTAGCCAACCGTTGCAGTTGCGTCAGATCGAGAGCATCTTTGATGGCGGCAAAGATTTTGTGACCGATGATGGCCTCATCATACCCACCATACCGGTCTATGTGCGCAACCGGATCGAGCTGAGCGCCGAGAGAGCTGGCCTATCGCAGCAGCGACAAATTGATATACTGGCGCGTGGCGCCACCGATTTAGCCATCACATTGCTCGGCGGCGCTCGCCGCTTGACACCGGCCAACAATCATCAGTGGCCCAAGATTGCCATCATTTGCGATGGCGTCAACACAATGAGGTGAGCTTGCCTTGAACTCGGCAACAAATATTTAAAGCTTTTGCTTGAAAGTTTGCGATAAGAAACATAAATTATATTATGCTCGCTTTGACAACAGAGATTAACTATCACTAAAATATTCATTTAAAACAAATGAAATTATAGGAAATTGTTTTTTTTTTTGTCTATATGTTTATTTTTTAAATTATACCTTTATTATATTCACAGAACAATCAACATTGCATGCGCAACGGGTCGTCTTTTGGCCTCCCATGGACTAACCGTGCTGCTCTATGTGGAGCAGGCGGAGCTAATTGAGCAGAACAGCAACTTGGAAGTAGCCTTGTTCAAGGCTACTGAAAATACCATAGTGCATTCGGTGGACGGTACGTTAAACCGATAAACAACTCAAACTAAAAATAATAACATTTTATATATATGTATATATATATTTTATAGATTTGCCTACGCCAGATCTTGTGATAGTTTCGACAAATACCGCTAATCTTTCGGATGCAATTAAGAAATGGCTCAGCGTTAATCGGTTAGTTTGTCGTCATGCATCTCTTAAACTATATTTAATTGATGTATTTTGATATTTTATAGCGCATCAGTGCTTGCCATTGATCCGCCACCGTGTGGCATTAAGGATGTTGCTATCAAGTACTCAATATTACCCATATTACCATTGATCCAAGATACGAGCAATTCGGCTGCTGCTGGTGCTGCTGCTGAAACAACACCAACAAAAACATCAACGAATAATTGTGGCAAACTGTATTTATGTAATTTAGGTATACCAGATAAATTTTATCGTGATTGTGGCATTAAGTACAAAAGTCCATATGGACATAAATATGTGATACCGATTCACTCAAAGGACTGAAACAACGATAAAAACAGCACACACACAAAAACAAAAACAACAGCAACAACAATCATCAGCAACAACATTAAGAGAAGATTACGAAGAAGTAGAAGGAAGAACAACACAAACACAAAAACAAACAAAAAACCAATCATAAACAGCAACAACAACAAAAGCAACACTCAACAAACAACACACATGTGATGATCATCAAAGTCCAGTTTCCTGTGAATCTAACAACTAGCTCTTAGAAGTCTCTCATAAACATAACTCACATTAGTTTTTATCTACGGCGCATATAGTATATATATATATTTAGTTTAAGCACTTAGTTTATGCATACAAATCGTTTTAATTGATCAGCTGCCCTAGAATAGTGCCGAACTACATTTATAATCGTATATATTTATTTTCAATTTTCAATTTTTTTTTTCTTTGTACAGACCCTCAATGCTAGTCGAGGCATAATTGATTTTTGTTTTGGCGCTCGCTTGAGAGATGTCTAAATTTGTCTGAATTTCCAAATTATATTATTTTTAGGACCACATTCTTCCATATTTGATGCTCCCACCCAGCAACTATCCCATAAGCGAGTCTATAGCTTTAATTTTTATATATATTATGCACTGGACAACTAACCAAAAGGACCATTCCCCCCAAAAATATAACTGGTCTTCAGAGCAATACTTTCAAATATGCAAAAACCGAAAAGAAAAACAAATACGTATATATATATATATCTAACAATTGTAAATAATTGTATATTTGCATAATTGTTTGTATAATATGTATATGGGAAGAACTCAATTAAATTGAATTAGTGAGATTGAGTGTGAAGTATGCGCAATACATGCCAAATTAAATGTCTACTTTTTAAGCAATAAATCAACAACTATTATATAATAAATTCATAAACAATACAATACAATACAAATTACAAATCAGATCGATAAGTTAGTTTCGTAAGTTTAAAGTGTTTAACAAAAAATGACACATTAAAACAAAAAAGCAAAAATTTTATTTGTATTCAGAGTTTAGTATCGTAAGACAAAAGTTTAAGCCGTAAGAGCGAAAAAACAAAACCTTATTTTGTACTCCCAACGAATACGGAAAAGAAAGAAAAACAACACAAACACAAACAAAAACCATATTTCAAATGTATCGCGATGAGTTTTACAAAACCAAATTGAACAAGTACTATATCAAAATCCAATCTAATAGTGAAAATGTTAGCCTTTGCAAACTTAATATGGCAACCAAAAAACCTTAACTAATTGTTGTAAAAATATTATAATATATAGATTCTAAATTTCAATTGTTGATGATCAGTCTGCGAATTTCAATTTGCAACCAATTGTTTCATACATAAAAACAAAAATGGAAGAAAAAAAAATGAAAATACAAAGCTACAGTTTTATGGGCTTTCCCCGATGGAAATGCGTTAAGACTGTTTTGAGTTAGGAGAAGAGAAGTTGTCAGGACGTTGTGGCAGAAGTTGAGAAGGTTATTACCAACAGGAACAAAAACAAAAACACACACAACAAACACACCACAGAATTTTGATAAATGCTTTAAAATTGTGAATTTAACAAAAACAAATCTATTTTCGGTCCAAATGTATAAAACTTAATTTTAAACGCAACAAACACCAAAATATGCCGACAAATCAAAATACATACAAACACAAGTTAACAAAATGAAAAAAACAACTACAATATTAAAGAAACAAAAACACCGAAAAGCCTTCTCATGGAAAACGAAATGAAAACTGTGTTTTTATTCAAGAAAAGGGGGTAAAGGAAATTTAAGAAAGATACATTTTCTTTTCTGGGTTGTGACGCTGTCACATTTGTATTTTTATTTTGATTGTGCTCGCAAGTGCAAACTAATATATATATATATATATACATACTATATAATAATTATACATTTCTTCTAGAGTCATGTGGAAGCAAAACAAAAAGTCCTCAATTTAAACTGAAACGCTAAAACTTCATTCACTGTTTAGCGTTCCGTTGTTTGAGTAGGAAAAAAGGAAATTATAAAAATTCAAGTTTTGGCTTTTCGAAAGCCCTTTTTTTTTGTTGGGAGTAGATTTTAAAGCTAGGTTTTTTGTTGCTCCTGGTCCACTTTAAGGCGCTTAGGCTGCTGTTCCTCGCCATAGTCATTATCCCGATCACGTTTGAGGACGGAGGAGGACGGTTTACGTGGTGCTTGCAGCTTAACGGTTATGACATTAAATGTTTCCACTTCAACCGAAACAACTTCCATTTGTGGCACAGACAAATTCTCCCCAAAGCCCGAGTCCGGACTGGACCAGCTGATCTCCATCGGGTGCTGCTGCTGCTGCTCTCCCTTCGCCTTGGACTGTTCATTGAGGTAATGATGTAGTCTGATTACATCAACATATGGCTCAACCATATGCTCACTGTACGAAGTCAGATCGGTGAGGAAAGGCGTCCAGCGCTTGGGCACGCCGCTCACCTGACGTGTGGCTGCAATGCAGCTGGCGGCCAGCATCGAAGGTGGCTCATTGCTGAACCTGTTGACTGAGTTATAAATTGAAATTTAATTTAAAATGGGTAATTGAATAAAATATTAGCTTACTGGTTAGCGTGTAGTCGGACATGCGCAGCAGTAGCTGCACCAACTGCGTCAGCATTTGCTCAAAGCTATTATAGCGCGGATAATTCTTCATCTCTGCAGCAGCAGTAGTGGAACAACCATCGATTGCCAAGCAATACCCAAAATAATCCTCAATTGTGATTAAATGGTAAGCGAACATCTCCACAAAACTGGCTACTGTCGGATGTATGAGCTTAAAGTCAAAGAATGTGAGCAGCTTGCGCTCAACTGTCTTGAACTCTAGAGCTGTATAACCGCTCTGGATCAAACGATCCATTTCACTATATCGGGGCACATTTGCATCCGTGTGCTCAATTTGGGCCGCAATGTGCATGCAGGTCAACGCAATCAACTGCAGCTTGTCCGAGCGTATAGTGTAGAAATCGAGGAAACGATCCAGATAGTTAATAGCTAGCAATGAATTTTCGTATATATTTTATATTCATATAATAATAATCCATATTCTACAGACTCACCCAAATGATGTGCGCATCGGCCCAATTGAAAGGAGCGCGCAATTCGCTGGCAGAGCTGTATGAGCATCGGCCTCTGATCGATTTGTGTCGATGTGTAATATATGGGACGGCGTTGCAACTCCGATTCCATCATTGTTTTCAAAATGTCTGCTGCGTAGTTGCTCACCCATTTCGATTTCAAAATGCGCTGCACAGGAAAAAAACAAACAATATTTGAGTTACAAATAAAGATCTCGTAAATAATGCATGTACATACTTCAATATTGCGTCTTGCATGCTCATTTCTCTCACTCAGCATGTAGCTGGTGTTTTCCAGCGATGGATTTGTCATTTTAATGCGTTTAATGGCTATTAATTGTTTATTTGCGGACGGACTTTGTTTGCTTGAAACTCAGTGCGAAAGCACACAAAAAAAACACAAGGAGCAACACTGCAAATATGGCTGACATTAACGGTAAAAGTGCAGTGTTCAAAACTGTTCACTGTTCAAAAACTTAAAAAAAAACAACGTTGATACAGAGAGTCGTAATTGAAGAAATGTTTTTAGTTACATAGATATATGTTTAATATTGTCCTAATATGTTTATATAGTATGTAAGTACGTCTATTTTAAGTATTTTGAATGTTTTAAGTATATATATGCATAATAATTAAAATGTCCTCTTAATTAATTGTGCCATGCAACTCACGCCAGCTACTCACGATCAACCTGATTGGTCCATCACAATTTCTATACAACAGCAGACTTCACTTTTTGGCATACAGTGATACCTCGAGGATTTGAACGCCTTGGTTCTAGATTCACGATTATTTCTGGAAATGATTTTCTAATTGTCAATCAATCAAGAGTTATTCTTTAATAGGGGTAGTCCAATATAGTGGTAACTCTTCATAAATGTTTATTTATATATAAATGAAAATGAATTGATTCAAGATACAAAAGTTGTACATAATATTTAATGTCTATTAGGGAATGTGTTTTTAAAATTAAAATAAATTCGCTTGTCGACAGCTGCTGTCTTTGGATACATCTAGCAGTGGTTAAGTTGGCCAATTGGCCAATTAAGGCAACTAATCAGAGGAGTCCGCCAGATTCACGTCGGATTTATCCAGCTCCTCGTCCAGGGATTGGATATTCGATGGCAGCTCACAGCCAATGTAGGCATTGTTGTTGGCACAGTAGAGAATTAGGTGGCGCCAGCAGTCGTCGAGGGCCAGAAGCTGGGGATTGCCAAAGATGACCATCAGGCAGCGAGCACGGGAGACGGCCACATTCATGCGCTTGCTGCTGTGCACAAAACCCAAACTGAGCCTTGCGTCCGACTGAAGATTGTCCTGCGAGGAGCGCACCGTGGATATCAACATGATATCACGTTCCTGACAAAGAAATGGAAAAAGGTTATCAACTTAAATGGACAGCTGATAAGGATAGCTGATTAGCTCACCTGACCCTGAAACTCCTCGACGGAACCAATCTTGGGCATGTCCATATCGGCACCGATGAACAAAGTGCGCAGCACCTTCACCTGCTTCGAATACGGCGACATTATGCCAATATTTTGGGGACTCACATTTTGGCCATACAATTTGCAGCACATTTTGAAGACCTCAACAGCCTCGACGACATTATACCACGAAGGTGAATCCATATCCTGCCGATTCTCACCCAAGATGCCGTGGAAGAAGGCGCCATGGGTGCGTGGCGTATTCTCCGTATTGAAAAGCGGCGACTGCAGCCTGGCGAGCAGCTGTGCCTCGTGTGAATCCTCCTTCGAGATCTGAGCGATGAGCTCGTTGTCATAGAATAGTCTGCTGTACACGGACATAATCGAGGGAATCGCACGATAATTGTAGAGCAGCTTGGTCAGCACATCCGGATTGTAGCCGGAGCTGTCGGGGAATCGCTGCAGATCTCGACGATATGGTGCCGTCTGCAGTAGTCGCTCCAGGAACGATAAGGGCAAGCCAAATTCAACAGCATGACGACTGCTAACAATGGCCTGTAATTGCATCGGATCTCCCGCAAGGATGACCTGACTGCGCTTCTGGGCAACCAGCGCAATGGGCACCATCGTCTCCGGCTCCGTGCACTGACCCGCCTCGTCGATCAGCAGGTGTGTAAAGTGGCCCGAAGGGAAATCCATTTGTATAAAGTTCCCCAACGTGGAGCACGTGCTGATCGTCACCCGATGCTTGCCCAGAAAGTTTGCCGGGCAGCGCAATTTGAGTCCCGAATCCGTGACAATTATCTGCGAAGATAAATTAGACAATTCCTATTTATAAATTGTATTTTTTTTTATATATATATATTCTACTAACGCTATCATGGCTGTCGTCCAGGATGCCAATTTCGATGGTGGCGCAGTAGTTCATTAGTTCCGGCGGCACCAGATCCTTCTCCACCTGGTTATGTGAGACGAGCCGTACAAATTCGCCCGGCTGCAGCACATTGCTGTCAATGATTCGCTTGGTGATCAAATCCGCCGAGCTGTTCGACGGAGTGCCAACGAGCACCCGAGCACCAGGTAAATTGTACACCAGTTGCAACACGGTCTCCACCAGGGTGACAGTTTTGCCAGTGCCTGGCGGACCAAAGATGACATACGGAATTCGATCGGATTCACCACGGAGTATATTGTAAATGGCACGTTTTTGAATAGAGTTCAGCTGCGGATTGAACCAGGGCAACTGGTCGTCATAGAGATGCATTACATCATCCCTGAATTGGATGTCCAGCTGGGGATTGTCGCGTTTGGTCACCTTGCTGGGAAAGAGGAAATGCTGACCCAAATAGTCGGTTATGTGATTAACAGCATAATGCTGCTTGCGAAACCCATATCTGGAGAAATGGAATTCCAGGCGATAATCCTCGCTATTATATTGCTGCTGAAAGCTGGCGTTGAACTTGAGCAGGACGCGATCGAAGAGCACCTTGTGTATGATGCCCTGATAGACGCTGTTTTCCACCCAGGGATTGATGGCATTCACAGAGTCGCCCAGCACCAAGGAGGGACGACGTTCCGCCAGATTCTCCACGTGCAGCGATAGATATTTCCCATCGCGCTGAAAATGAGCACGTTCCCGATCAAAATTACGAAAGTTGATCATATATTCGATCTCCTCCAGAAACAGCAACGTATCGAAACGTTTCGCATAGTTCTCGTAGCTGAGCAGCTCTTCCAGGTATGGATACTGATTGGTCAACAGTTGGAGCATGTCTTGCACTCGCTCCGTCTTGAGGACAATTTGGAGCAGGCGATCGGGCACATCGTAGCCAGCGAAATGGGTTTTGATGAAGCGACGCTTCGTAGATACCGATTCACCCTTCACCAATGAGTATTTATTTGTGGACACCTGATACGCATATTGGCGACTCCGTTGAGCCACCGTCTTGCCACTGACCATCAGCTGTTGGGAGGCAATTAGACGTCGCTTTGCCTCCCGGGCATCCTCATCTGTTTCGCACACGATGATCGTTATGAAGCGACTCACTTTAAAGTTGTCAAAGTGTAGGATGAAGTGCTCTTTGACCTCGCCAATGAACTTGGTGTACACCTCAAAGATCAGCGATATTTCGGTACCCATCTCAATGTGACGCTCGCTAACCGGTTCCAGCAGCGTGATCTGTGCATCTCTCTTATTTGGTATTTCAATGCGCTTCAGCTCAAAGGTGCGTCGTCCCGTGTTCTTTAGCTTGAAGCTGATGTTATGCTTCTTCCACTCGCCAACAAATACAAAACGATCCTCGCCTTCTATAGAAATAGCCCTGCTTTTTCCAGTCGAGCACGTCGTCAACATTTGGTTCTTCACTTGGCCAAAGTTCTTCTCCAGCAATATCAATCTGATGGCGCGACGCGTGAATGTCGACTGTGTAAATGTAAATATATATATATATATATATATATATATGTAAATATATATATATATATATATATATATATATATATATGTATATTAATATATTTATCTGTATTATCAGGTTAGACATTTTAGGAGATATACTCAAGAAAGCGCCATTAACTATAATATCTATTTCTAATTATTAAATAGAAGACCAATTCTAATCTAATGCTCTCTGCAAGTATGATTTTGTTAGCCTAGTTTTCTTACATGTTTACACTCGATAAGATCGACTCTGACAGTATCGCCCAGATGCAGGCTAATGCCCGTGGGCACATCCTCCTTGAGCACATACGCATTGTTGTCCATCACAGCAATCTCCTCAAAGACCCGCTCAATGATGCACTTTTGATTGGTTTCGATGCGCGTCGGCGACACTTTCTTTACTAACAGAATTTCGCCCTGTTTGTCCACATAGCCATCGTTCAGCTGGACAATGCACTCGAGGCTGATTTCATCGCCCTTCTTGGGTATGAAATTGATCGCAATCTTGTCCAGCTCAACGATTCGTTCACAATAACCCATGTTCACTTCGATGGAGGCAGACAGACGCTGCGTGATGACGCCGAGAATGGTTCGCAGCTGCGTATTGAAATTGGTGGGTTGTTCCAGCTTCAGGGAGTCCAACATCTCCTGCACCTGGTGATGGTAAATTTTTTTATTAAAATCTATTAAATCCCTTTAAAATTTACCAACTACTTACCTGCTTTAGATCTGGTTTCTCCCAACAGTGTTCGAGTATTTTATGAATCTTGATCACTTTGAAGTTGCCCTCGTCCTGTTGAAAGACTAAATACTCGACAACACAGCCAATGTTTAGATCACGGAATAGTTCTCCAGCGGTTTGCCGGCTAAAGGACATGGAGTTATTGATTCGGCCTGCATTGCCAGTTAATTCGGTGATGACGCCTTTGCGTACGCAGCATGAAGAAGATGTGGCAGCTGTCTCCTGATCAGAATTGTCGGTGGTAGTAGCTAGATTTAAGTTCGGCTCGCTATTCTCAGCATTTTCTTTTGTCGCCTGGTCGAGAAAGTTGTTCTCCATGTCGAGCATATCGAGTGCATGCTGCCGCTCCTTCTCCCCGTTGGAGAAGATGCTCTTCCAGATTTTATACATGGTAAGTTAGACAACTTAACGTCTTTCTATTGCTGAGGCTTCTTCTCCAGACTCTCGTACATCCAGTCCGTCTCACTGATGTAGTTCAACTCGTTGCGCAGAGTCTGCAGCCGATTCAAATGGGTGTCGTTCGCCTCCGCTTTGACGCCCGATTCGCTGGTGATTAGCGAGATTACTTTGCTTGTTGTTTGCGTATCGAGTTTCTTAATCTGGAGTGCAGAGTAAACAATTGGAAAGTGGGTAAATAACCAAATTTGACGCGAATTTCCTTACAAAATATAAATCATTCGTTTTTGTTAATTTTACTAATATTCACTTTTAAAATATTGTTCTTAATATTCCCCTATAAATTAAACTGCTTTCAAATTTTTCAAATTGCGTATCTATTTCAAATTATCATAATTATCACATTCACATTTGTAAAAAATTTTCGTTAATTTCTTCGCTTGGCATAAAATTAAAATTGTATTTCTAATTAAATTGAGATAAGTTGAAAAATGTATAAAATTATGGCTTTTTGTCCCTGTTTTTAAAGTCTTCCAATTCTAAAAACGTATTTTTTGTTTTCCTTACGCTTACAAATTTGAAAACATTTCTTGTGCGAGTGCCGTTATTATTGTTGTTGCAACTGTAAACGAATCGAAAGAAGAACCCAAAAAATGCACGTGCATTTATTGGAAGTGCTTCGACTTGTGTGTGTGTGCGTGTTTACTGGAAATTATTGCATTTGCATTTGCATAATTAGAGAAATTTGAATAGTCTCCAACTTAACTTTTGATACTGACCAAGCAAAATAAAAAAAAAACAATCAAAATAAATAAATAAAGAGGCATTAAATTTCCACAAACCTCAGCAGCGTTGTTGCTTTCTGGAATACTTGGTGTGTTGTTGCTATCGCTGTTGATGCCGGCTGTTGTTTCCCTCGATATAATTGACATGTTCCCTTGGCGGTTGGAAATCGTACCCCGCATATAATAAAAAAAAGGCAAAAAATGAATTATTATTGATGGTCTTAAGGCGTGCGTACAATTATATATACATAGTTAAATTTCAGACACTCACCTCAACCCAGCAAAGATATGTTTGAAGCTCGAAATGTTAATTCAGCGACCGCACAGCTTCCAAAATTTGCAAAGAAGAGTTTGTTAGTGATGGGACACAAAACACACAGTTTACAGCTCGGCTAACATATGGTTTTACATGTTGCATTTTGATTTACATTTACGACCGTTATTCGCTTTGCTATTTTAAAAATTGTATAATTGCGTGATCATTTATTTCTACGTAAAATTACCTAACAAAAGGGTATATAAGATAACACTTATGTTCCATCAAGTTTGGGAGAAATAATAATTTAATAGATTTAACTCAACATGAACTGCTAACAGATGCCTCAACAGAGTCATAACAGAGTTTAACATTCAACACGTTCCACAAATTAGAGATGACATTGTATAAAAAGTGCGCCCCATCGATTAAAAGAAACATTCTATCAAACTTACAAATATAGTAAATAAATGACTTAAATGTGTAGTATTATATAAGTAGAATGTGTTGATGAACTTTACGCAAGTATTGCTCGTGTGCCACATGAAATATCGAAAGCAGTAAAAACAACGTGCACTATCGATATGATAATCGATGTGAACACATCGCTAACACAGGTGCATCGTATTCGCTAACAGAATTCGGCGTGCAAAAGAAAAATTTACGTTTATAAATTTTTGAGGCGAGCTGGAATTCGCCAAATTTGCAGCAAGCAGACAAGTTGACTAATCGGGCTGCCAAAGTGTTGCCACAACCAGGAATCAATCAGCAGATACCAACTGCAGCCACAACCAAGCGTTGTCGTCGTCGCCGTCGTCGTTGTCCTCGTTGCCCGAGCGTCTCGTGTAGATTTTCAGCAGTGAATTACTTTCGGCATTTCGTTGGTGTTGCGAGAAGAAGCGTGTTGAGACTGCGCCAGGAAAGATGGTTAAAGCTAAAAAGGGCAAGAAAGAGATACTGACCACCGAAGTCGAGGGCGCCTCATCTTCGGACGAAATGTGAGTAAACCAATAAATTGTTTGCTGTTGTTGTTGTTATTATTCTGCCATGCTGGCAACTTTCTATTCAATGTTTATTAATTGTTTATAGCGAAAGTAATGCTGCCATGGACTCGGACAACGAACAATTGAGCAACAATAATAACAGCAACAACAACAAGAAGAATCAGCAGAAGGGCAACAGCAAGAAGAAGAACAAGAAAACAAATGCCGATTCAGATGAGGGCAGCGATCCGGCGGAGAGCCTCACAAAGGGCGTCAAAAAGCTGAGTGTCAAAGGCAAAGGTAAAGGTAAAGGTGGCAAGAAGAACGCTGAGGATGCCTCCGATGAGGAGGAGCCAACTGCAGTCAGTCAGTCCGCCAAGAAGTCTGCATTTAACCTGCTCGATGATGATGATGCCGATGACGATGAGGTTGACGATGAAGCACCAGCTTCCGATGAGGAGGAGCAGCCGGTGGCTGTTAAGCCCGCAAAGAAGAACGAAAAGAAAGGGAAGAAGAACAAACGCAAGGGCAAAGATGATGACGATGAGGATCTGGACAAGATGCTGGCCGAATTGCAGGCGGAATATGCGGGTGAAGCGCCAGCAGCTGCAGCTGCTCCAGCAGCATCTATCACTAAGCCTGAGCAGTCCAAGAAGAACCAGAAGCAACAGGCAGAAGTCGTTGAAGATGATAGGGATGATCAGGAGAATGAAGAGGGGGGCGGCATGAAGACAGCAGCGCAAAAGAAGAAGGAGAAGAAGGAGCGACAAAAACGTGACGCGGCCCAGGCCAAGCAGCGTGCAGCACTGGAGCCAAAGCAGAAGCCAGCTCCTACTCCAGCTCCTGCTCCAGCACCAGAGCCAGAAGAGCTACTCGAAGCAGAAGCAGTTGCTCCCGAGCCAGAGGCTGAAGATGTCGACAAGGCTGGCAAGAATAAGAAGAAGGGCAAGAAAGACAAGAAAACGGAGCCCGAAGAGGAGAAAAAGGATACGAAGAAGAAGGGCATGTCAGCTGCCATGGTGGCCGCCATGCAGGATCAGCTCAGAAAGCGCAAGGAGGAGGAGGAACGCCAGCAAAAACTGGAGGAGGAGCGCATCCGTTTGGAGGATGAGCGCGAAGAGGCGCGCTTGGAGGCGGTGCGCATCGAAGCCGAACGCAAGGAGAAGAAGAAACAAAAGGAGGCCGAACGCAAGGCGCGCCTCAAAGCCGAAGGCAAACTGCTGACCAAGAAGCAAAAGGAGGATCGTGCTCGTGCCCAGGCGCTGCTGGAGTCACTCAAGGCGCAAGGCCTCGAAATACCCGATCCCAACGAGCGGCGTTCCACGCGGCCAGGTGACAAGTGAATTCTCGGTCTTCTCCAGGTGGTTATTAATTGTATTCAATGCTATTCTTTTAGGCACCCGCATCAGACCCAACAAGAAGAAGGTTCCCAAGGACGGCGCCAACGAGGAGGAGCCCAAGGATGAAGCTCAACTGGCGGCGGATGCAGCTGCCGCTGCTGCAGCCGCTGAGGAAACGGCCAAGGAGATCATCAAGGAGAGCTGGGATGCCACCGATAGCGAAGCTGAACCCGAGGAGGAATCCTCACAGGCAACCACAAACACAACCACCAACAACAATGGCAAAACTGGACCCGCGGACAATGAGGAAACCGATGAGAATAGCGACTCCGATGATGACAGCGATGAATCGGACGAGCAAAGCGAGGAATCCGACAAGGAGGACCCGGCTGGCTTGGCCAATGATCCCGAATCGCGTCGTTTGCGTGCCGAGGCGCGCATTCTCAAACGGCAATCGGATGCGGAAAAGAAACGCACCACGGATGAGCTGCGTGCGGGTGTCGTTTGTGTTCTCGGCCACGTGGACACAGGCAAAACGAAGATCTTGGATAAGCTGCGACGCACAAACGTTCAGGACTCAGAGGCCGGTGGCATTACGCAGCAGATAGGTGCCACCAATGTGCCCATTGAAGCCATCAAGGAGCAGACGAAATTTGTGAAGAACGGCACCAGTTTTGAGCATCGTCTGCCCGGGCTGCTGATCATCGATACACCCGGCCACGAATCGTTCAGTAATCTGCGCAATCGTGGCTCCTCTCTCTGTGATATCGCCATTCTGGTTGTAGACATTATGCACGGCCTGGAGCCGCAAACCCTTGAATCCATACAGCTGCTCAAGAAGAAGAGATGCCCATTTATTGTAGCGCTCAATAAGATCGATCGATTGTATGACTGGCAAGTGCTGCCCCGACGCGATGTCCGGGATGTGATCAAGGAGCAGCAGAGCAACACTCAACTGGAGTTCCAACAGCGCACCAAGGAGGTCATCCTCCAGTTTGCCGAGCAGGGTTTGAATGCGGTGCTTTTCTATGAGAATACGGATCCCAAGACGTACATCTCACTGGTGCCCACCAGTGCCATCACTGGCGAGGGCATGGGCAATCTCCTGTTTATGATTACCGATTTCTGTCAGAATATGCTGGCCAAGCGTTTGATGTACTCCGAGGAGCTGCAGGCCACAGTGCTGGAGGTGAAGGCCATTCCTGGTTTGGGCACCACCATCGATGCCATCCTCATCAATGGCAGACTGCGTGAGGGTCAAACCATGATCCTGGCTGGCACAGATGGACCGATAACCACACAAATCCGTTCCCTGCTCATGCCACAGCCGATGAAGGAGTTGCGCGTGAAGAACGCCTATGTGGAGTACAAGGAGGTGAAGGCGGCGCAGGGCGTAAAGATCGCTGCCAAGGATCTGGAAAAGACAATTGCGGGCATCAATCTGCTTATTGCGCACAAGCCCGATGAGGTCGACATTTGCAAGTGAGTTCAATAAGATTTACCATGAAATTGAAACTCATTTTGCTATAAATTTCACAGAGAGGAAGTTGCTCGCGAACTGAAGAGCGCTCTGAGCCACATCAAGTTGGCCCAAGCGGGCGTCTATGTGCAGGCCTCAACTTTGGGCTCATTGGAGGCACTCCTCGAATTTCTGCGCACTTCAAAGATTCCGGTAAGTGAGAAAATCAAAGTTGAAAAATCAAAAATGTTGATAATGTTAAGGAATAGATATAAATAATATATAAAATATGGAATATAGAATATGTATTTATACTCAACTGCTGATAAGATATGAGTTTAAACCAGCGAACTTAGGCTCCGTTTGTGGTACGTAAAGCATAACGATTCCGGTAAAGATTCTCATATTGTTCTGTACTTTTTACAGTATTTAAAGGTTCTCAAAGGTTGTTTAAGAGATATACTGCTGATTGAGCATGAATTATCAACATCGGATAAATATATCACATTGCTGGGTTGGTTTTTAGATTTACAATTAAATTGAGGTATCAGCAGGTGGACTGATCTAAAATTCGTTTGTTCTTTCGCGTCATACCCTAAAAAATGGGTGAATTCCATTCCCATAGCTCATCAACAGACCAGTCGATATCTGTCTGCATGAACAAACAGATCTCAGAGACTTTAAGAGCAAGAGACTGCAAATTGGGATTATTTGGAATATAGTATATTTAGACAGATATACCTAAGTTAAATGATATACTTTAATGATGATTTGGTTCCGATACGTCCTTTTTATGACAAATAATATAAGTATTTGGGTTTTAAAATTGTTGAATTTAGGTTCTGATTCCTATTCCGATTTTGAATTTGAATCCGCAAAAATTATGTTCCCTTTCCGATTCGAAACCCGCTTTGGCACCCAGATTTATACGCAAGTATTCGCTGTATTTAGGCCATAAGGGGTTAATACTGCAAGTGTACTTTCTATGTATATACAAAATTAGTACATTAACTATAAAGATGTTCGACTTTATATTTGAAATATGCCTAGACCTAAAATATGGCATAACTAGTAGTCAGTCTCAGTTTATAGACTAATTAAAAGTGGGATTAAAAACCAAATATAAAAAAGTGGCTGCGTCGTCAAAGAACTTTTTACGCATCGCATTTTAGTCGTTAACTTTTTTTTTTTTAATTGAATTTAGTGTAATATGGCAAAAAATTGTAAATTGTCGGACACGAAAGTATTTTTGGAAAATTATGAGTGCATGGGGCGGCGTCGGCGTCTGCGTCGGCATCTGCGTCGGCGTCGTCTGCTTAAGCCGCCGTTGCAGCAGCCACACAGTTGCAGTCGCCACCTGCGTTTCCGTCTTTGCAGCCAGCGCGGCAGCAGACAGCGTCGACAACGTCGACAAGAACGGCGTAAACATAAAATGTATTTTTATAAATGCGGTGCAAATAGTTGCAGCAACATCAGCGACAACAACGGCAACAACAACAGCAACTGAAGCAGCAGCAACAGCAACAGCAGCAATAACAAATAACAACTACAATCCCGGCCACATCGAATGATTCATGCCACAAGCAGCCATGCGGCGGGCGCGTAGCCAACAGCAGCACGCACTGCCTGCCCCATCCATCCATCCAAATCTGCTCAGTCTGCCTGCTGCCTGCCCCCCAATCACGAAAAGATTGAACACCAACTAAAAATACCACGCGCTCTATATATACCAGCCAAAAAATACACACATTGTATACGCACACATATATATATAATATATATATTTGTATATATAAATATATATATATATACATTTATATATATTTATATATGTACCTGAACGGATATGGCAACTCGAATTGCAATTTGCAAAACATTTCATTACATTTATATATATATATTTTTGCCTTTTTCATTTGAACTTATTTGTTTTAAGCGTATTTCATGAATGAATTTTCAACCATTGCCATTTGATGCCCGCCATTTGACACGCCATATAAATTTTATTTCTTATATATATATATATATATCTATATATAATTGGTATTTGTGATGCGACTCATCGTTCTAAAGACAAAGTTGTATTTTAATTAAATGAGGGACAGCGGAAACGTTCGACGGAAGTAACAAACAATAAGAAATACATATATTAAAATGTTTATACATTTTATATACATATATATATCCAAAGAAATGTATTTTGCTGTGAGTTGTGTAATGGAAATAAGATATTCAATGTGCTTTACATTGTTTCTACTGCAATTGTTATCGCCTCAAAATCTAATTATTGTGACAACAATTTAGACGACTTGAAATTAAAGTTTTTTTTTTTTTTTTTTGAGAATTGAAAACATAATTAAAAATGTTCTTGATGAGGTGCAATTGCAGCTAAGATCTTCAGCTCGATTCATCTAATTTTAAACTTAAAAAATAATAAACTATACTATAAATTCCAAATAGTATGATAAAAAGCCCCAAAAAGCAATACAAGTTGATTAGATATTATATAAAATAATAAAGCGTGAACATGTTTTGGCCAAGCCAGCAAAACCACTAATCTGACACTATAAGCAACAAGCAACAAGCTCATTAAGAGCCACCCACATTTTTTAGGGTTTCCCACAGACTCATCTCACTCATCTCAACTTCCATCACACATGTGGCAGCCGCTGTGCACTTTTCCCACAGTGAATGCTTCCAAAATCAAGACGCCAACGCAACAACTATGCAAATTGGCTAAAACTAACTTACATAATTGTAGTCGGCGGCAACATTTGGGGCAAATACCACACAAGGGGCCGGGGTGGCAAAGGGGCATGTGATTTTGTGAACTCAACAGATGCACTGAACTGAATTCAATGCAAGTCATTGTTATATTTAAAGACAAGTTAACAGAATTGGAGTGCGCTTGAAATTAGGTGGTTAAATCTTCAACAGTCTTTACAAAAAATAGCAAGTTATAAGTGATATTAGACTTAAGAGTGATAAATGATATATAGGATATCTTTAGATTGATCACTCCTCATTATTATGTGCAAGCTTGTTTGCTGTTCACATTTGAAACGCAAAAATTTGTCGCCGTCAAGTTTTTGCGATTTGTTTCAAAAAATCAATTATGGCGATATGTCGGCAAACTGACTGGCTGACTAGCTGGCTAACTGACAAAGTGACAGACGCTGCTTGATTGCCATTCATTCATGAGTTGAGTGTGGGCCATGTGGGCAGCGGCCGGCCGGCTATGTAACAAGTTCCGCCTTCGTTTAAGCCAAATTTAGTAACTAACTAGCGCCAACGCACATACCGTACTACCATGCGGTCACTTGTCAACATATTTTAAATGCTTTTACCACGGCTCGTTTAGATTAGTCGCACTTTATGTAACAAATTGAAACAGTTGATCTTTACTTAACTGATCAGATCTGATTCATATATGATTTAGAAAAATGCATTTGACAACTTAAACAAGTATTTGAATGGAGAAAATCGTGTTTCTGAATTTAGAAACAGTGATCAAAAATCTTTTGCTTTCGAGAATCGGTTGAGTTTTGGCCAGGTTATCAGATTTTTAAGGCTTGGTGGAGGGTGTAGAGTATCGCTATAGAGTATCTGTTAGTCAAGCACTCTTTGAAATACATAAATTGGACATGCTATTAATATCATAAGAGAGCAAACTATATTTGTACATATGGAAGTCTATATGCATGTGTGTGTGTGTGTGAGTGTCTTTCATTCAGCTCGAGTAATTATTCGAAGCACCCACGCTGTGAAATACGAACAGGGATTCCAATTTATATATTGGCTCTGACCAAACTGACCGGAAATTGTCATTTAACTCACTTGCTGTGTTGTTCTTGTTGTTGTTGTTGTTGCCAGCCCAAAAATAAAAAAATGGATTTCAGACACGTCGCCAGTCGCGTTAAAAAGTCGTTTAGGTTTAATTTACTGCACATCGATCCATTGATCGTAAGTGCCAAAAACGATTGTCTCTCTCAACCTTACACAGTTAGCAAAAGGAACAGCGCAAGAGAGTAAAGCTAACATATCATTTAACATGGCACTATTTTTCTCTTTGATGAACTCTGCTGCAATTGTGTTTTAGATTTTCATTGAGCGCATTTCATTAATCCAAATTATGGCAATGAAAACCAGCTCGGCAAGTGTCTCCAAAAAATAAAACACGCTTCACCAAAAAAACAACAAAAACGAGCATCAACCAGCAGACAGCCAATAAATTGTATGGAAAACAAATCAATTACAAATACACACACCCATATACATAGAATTATATTGCAGCTTGCTGGCTGGCGCTCTCTTTCAATTGCTCTCTTTGTTGCTCTTATTAATTGCGGCAGTGTTGAAAAAGTTATTGTTGTTATTTATCAGTTGTTTCATTCATTTTAGCAAACGATTTGCCTGATCGTTCTCTCTCGCTCTTGCGTATTGCGCGTTGCTCTCGTACAATAATTCATTTTATTGATCAAATAAACATTTGCTATACATTTCTATAAATTAAACACGACGCGGACGGGGCGTACCAGCGGCAGCAGCAGCAGAGGAATCAGCAGAGGCTTTCTATTCATAAAAATTAATTGCACTTGTTGCTGTCTGCTTTTCAGCCTTTCTGCCTCCCATCATTATCCTCTGCGGAGCCATGTGTTGTTTTTAACAGTTTAACATAATTCACTTATAAAAGCAATACGCACAATATTTATGCAAATAACAATAATTCATTAGCAGCCCTCAATTTAAATGGCTTCTTGGCCATTAAAAATCTCGCATTTCAAAAACAAGAAAATAACAGTTCAAGTATGTATCTTTGTGTGTGTGTGCTTAAAAATCTCGTAGATTACAGACACTTAGGCTCTCTTTTGCTGTTGAGCTGCAAGCTTAATTCTTTGATTTTGTCAGATATTAGAATGGCAACCTGTACAGTGTTGTACAGTGTGGCCTCCTTGCAATTAACCTTAGCGTGTGCAGCTATCGCATTTGGGCAGTGCGCGTTAACATTACGCCACCGATTTGCTTGCATGCATTTTTTTATGACACAGGCAGGCGGAAAACCAAAAACAGAAAGAAGACAGCCACAGAGAGGGAGAGAGGGACGGGTGAAGAGCTTCTGCTGCGTGTCTGTCTGTGTTTGGCTGTTGCAAGCAAAGCACCGTTATGCAATTGGCCTGCAATCTCTGCTTAAATTCCGTTTGTACATTTGCTGCTGTTGTTGTTGGCAACAGTGGCTTCATTAACATTTGCTTCTCGTTGTCGTTAACCGGCCAAATATAGCGTAGTCGTCGTCGCCCAACCTGATGGAGTTGCCATTCATAAAAAAAGAGAAAAAAAAGCTGCTCGTCGCCTCCATTGCCTTTCTGCTTATACAACTGTTGGCAATGCTTACTTTTAGTTGATGTTACTGTTGCTGTTATTGTTGTTGGTATTTGTTACCCACATAAGCAGCACCCGCAACAAACGCTGTTTGGTTTCCCATTCATGCCAAGCATTTTTTTTTCGTTACTCTTTTTCTTTTTTTTGCTTCTTTTATGAATGAAAAATACGTAACAACGAATACTCGGTAGTCTGTTAGTCCGTCCGTGACGACGTTTTTCTTTCATGAATGAAAAATTGCGCAGAAAAAACCGCACAGCAATCCAAAACAAGAAAAAAGCAAATAACTTTGACGTGCCAAAATCGTAAAGAAAACAAAAAATGTCTAAATAAGTTAGCAGACTTGTAAATGCACTCAAGTAACACGATACTGTTAAATATTGTAAATAAAGTGGGTCTATGCTGTTACGGTCATGTTAACGAGCGACTAACAGGTGGTTAACACTTTAGAAATGACAACAGATTCTTATTGTGTTACAAATTGTGTGAGAAAATTGTGATACACTCTCTGCTAGAGAGTATAAGAGAAACGCATGCAGCTTTGCAAGTGAGTTGCTGTTGAGTTAGTTTTGTTTAATGCAGGTATTTGGGCTGTAATTGTAATTATGCAGCAATCAACTATGCATTACTATGCAGTGTTGTAGTTGCTGTTGCAGTTGTTGTTGTTGCTGTTGCATTTGCTGTTTTAGCTCTTGCGACTTTTGCGGTTGATTTAGCCATAATAGTGTGCCCCGCAATGTTGTTGTTGTTGCTGGATGCCCGTCTGCGGACGTCGACGTCATTGAATATCAGTTTTTGCTGTTGGTAGCTAGGCAATGTACACCTGCCGACACATGAATAAGTACACTAGCAGAACTTGACTGTATATTGTTGTTGAGTGAAGATAGATGCGTTTCTGTTTATTTATTATTGAGAAAAGTTAATGGGAGAACTCGTGAATATTTAATATACTTGAACAGTAATGCTGATGAACTTATTTTATTGAGCAGCAGTGTATATGCGTACATAGATGTGGTTGTGTGGAGGTAATGCGATTCCCCTATGCATTTTAATTAAAAGTCAACAACTCTCGCACACACACACACACACAGAGAGACGCATACACTTGGAGAGTTTCGCAAGGTTTGCACGAAGCGTTGGCAACCATTTGTAATCGAGACGTAGTTGCATGCAAATATGCGATTGTAATAATGGCAAACGCGCAACGCCTACAATCAACAATAAAGCAAAATCACGAGAATATGAAAAACGACAGTCTCGCAGTCGATGCAGAAGCAGAAGCAAAAGCAGCAGCAGCAGCAGTAGCAAAAGAAGCCAGCTGAGACAGCAAAATTAATTGGCCTTCTCGCACTTCAAATAATTGCCGCAAAAAGTGTGCAATTTGTGTTTGTCTTTGTCTTTTCTTTTTCATTCTTCTCTCTTTTTGTATAATGGCATCAAAACACTTGCAAGCTGACCTGTTCACTGAGAGAACAACAAAAAAGACGTTACGTGGCCCAAAACACAGCCGATGGAAATGTAGTCCATTGTAGCCGCATAAAAACAAAAAAGCCAACAAATCAATCAGCTGTCTTACTCTCTGCCTCTGTGCCTCACAACCCCACCCCTAACCCCTTATGTTCTGCCCTACCCCTTCACTCTTTGAGTATAGCACTTTCTTACTCCATGACGCAGTCCATCGAAGCGCTGTATTTAATGAATGAATTTAATTTTGTGCGCTTTTTCTCATGTTGTGTTGTTGCGGCATGTAGTATATACTCTGTGTGTGTGTGTGTGTGTGTGTGTGTATCTATGTATCTACATAGGCACTAAAAGAATGAAAGGAAGGAAGTGAGCAAAGAAGCAGACAATGCCAACGTTTTCATTAATGCGCCGTAGTTGTTGCCAAGAACACAAAAAAAAAAGAACAGCAACAACAACAACGACAGCCTCGATATAAAACAAAAAAGAAATGCTCAATTATTTGTCGATTGTCGAAGACTAGATACACTTGCTCTATTGAACAGCAGCAGTGTTTGAATTAACTACTACGTAGCAATATAAATATTACTTTGCTAAGCAACTTTAACAGAGCAATGCAGAAAACTGAAATAAATGCTCTTTAGCACTGCTTTGCTCTGTCATTTGCCAGAGCAATAGCAGTAGTTGGAGCAAAAAAAATACACATTTTGCTCTCTATAATCATAGCAATAGCAGCAAGATCGGGAGCAGAGCGAGCGCATAGCAAACTGATATCGAAATGAACTTTAAGTACTTTCCAACACTTGTTCTTGGCGTATCTTCTATAACTCCAAGAATTCCTAAATAACTTTAAACAAGCAGCAATGAGAGCAATGAAATGATGCTAAGCATTACCTAGTTAAGACTAGACTTACATAACTCCACAAAACTTTAAGTAACCAGTATAAAAAGAGTCATAATTATTCCTAAGAAACTTGATAAGTCCATCAAGTAAACTACCCCATTTAAAGGGTATATCAAAAAAAAAAAACAAAAGAGAAAGAAACAAATGAATGAGTGAACAAACGGGCGAGTGAATGAGTAAATGAATGAATGAGTAAATGTTCACGAGTATAAATGAGAGGCAACAGCAACTACAACAACGGAAGTAATTCTTCCTGCATCGCACACACACACACAGATACACACACACACACATACACAATGGCAGTTTGAAGAGCTTATTGCTTAATATTCATTCATAAACACGTTGCGACCGCATTTTTAATGAAATCAGCAGCAGGCAGCCAAGCAAAGGAAGTTAGCCCGAAATGTAGATAATAAATACAAATTTACATACAGATGTAGATGTAAATATGTACATACCTACATACAGATGTATGTACATAATACATACATTTTAAGAACGGAAGTTGACCGGAACGTGCACAACTAAAGGGAAGCCAGTCCAGCCAGTCCAGCCAGTCCAGCTGGCAAACAACAACAAATTGAAACAACAATTATACAATTTGTGGCAGCAGTCAGATTCTTTAGCCACCTTATAGCGATTTGGACACGAACTCTTGACTTGATCGTGCAACGTGTGGCATCGATTTAAAAGGCAACAAGAACAGATTTAAATCCAAGAACACTTTCTTTGGCCAGCTCGGCGTGCTGACGTCAGCAAAGTGTGTGCTTTGCTTTGTGCAGGTGTCGGCAATTGACAGCAGTTTGACCTTTCACCTCTTACAGTCGTCATTCTGTCGTATCGATGTCGTCCTTGCCTTCCTCTTTCTCTTTGTATTTGTTGTTGTCACGTGCGTTTTATCTAATTAGCTTTTGCATTCAGCCTTTACGCATTTTGGCTTCGCCCACAACTTTTTTTTTTTGGAAAGTTTCCAGCTACGATTTGTCGAGTCAGAATTTCAGAAATTCGATTCTGTTTCAAGAGATACGCCTTGATTGTTTTCCGCTTGTGGCATGTGGCAAATTTTTGTTTGTCACTTCCGCCTTGCGAAATTTCGAGTGTTTCAATGAAATTTACCCAAGGTCTTTGCTTTTAAAAATAATGCGCAAATCGATATCAAATTAAATGAAAGTCTGTTGTATCTAATCGATTCTATTTGAAATAGAAATCTGATTAGTTTTATTTATGTTCAAGCAACAAGGTTAGGGCAACGCCACAGTTGATGACACGCTCGTCGATTTGCAGCTGGAACTCGAAGTGGAACTGCAGCTGGAGCTGAGTAATTGGGCATGGCATGTGGCAGCTGCACAACTGACATTGGGCAAATAGCCGCCAAGAGTGCGAATGAGTTGTAGTTGATTTTTACGCTTGTCGCGCACCTCCTGCACGGAGACGAGCAGCGTGCTTGTGGCATAGCCACAGCGCCACACATAGTCGGCCATGTTATCTGTCATGCACATTAGATGGACACCGGATTCGTGGGGCTGATGCGCAGCTTGTTGCAGGCAGCGTCCCACAGTGAACCCATAGTTCTCGCCACCAAGCAGATTGCGCAATCGTTCTTTGAGCAAACGTGCCAGATTCAAATGCCGATTGTCCTGCGAATCGAAATAGTAGATCCTCCGATCGGGACGTGCCACCAGCAACAGGGACCAGTGCTCGTCCTCCGACATTGGTATAAAGATGAACTGCTTGCTGGCCAGCTGCATATCTCGTACGAGACAACGCTGCTCCTTTGCATCCAGTTGGCGCAGACCATCAGCGAGTGCTGGCAACAGGAAACACAACTCTGGTTCCCTTTTGTAACGACGGCTCTGCAAATAGGCGTAGTGGAGACCAATCAGACGATCGTTCAGCTCATGCGGTCCCTGCAACAGTTGCACATCTGAGTGCCGCAATAATATCTCCTGGTAGCGCAACGAGATGCCCCCATTGACACCATTCTCCTGGCCACGCAAGTAGTCGCCATTGATGCTGGCCTTGGTCAACAGCAGGCGACGATGCCTTGTCAGCGTCTCCGGTTGCTTTTGCTTCATCTTCCCACTCTTGGTCTTGCGCATTGTGGCAGGAGTCAGCAGAGAATGATGTTGATGCTGGTGTACAGTGTATGTGAGATGTGTAAGATGTGTGAATTGTTTTTAGATTGTTAAAGCTAAGCATTCTATGCATGCCAGGGGAAACAATGAAAATTGTTATTGACTCTTTTTAATAATATCTGTTTCAATTCTAGGACTAATCAAATATGTTCAATCTTCGAGCAATCCAACTTGACTTCTTATCGATACAATCCTTGATATAAACACCTTGACATCTTATCGTATTTAGCACTGCAAGTAATCATTATCTTTCTCCATCGATTTTTCAGTACTCCGCCATACGTATTGGGCCCGTGGTCAAGCGTGATGTGATGAAGGCCTCAACGATGCTGGAGCATGAGCCGCAGTAAGTGATCGTTATATGTTTACTATACATGCATACATATCCTTAACGATTTCAACTCCATTGCTTCCTGCCGTTTTTATGTGGCACGTCTGCCATCATGCAGGCATTGTGCAAGCGCTGGCCACATATCATTATTATATCAGAGCTCTTACGACAACATTGTAACGTCTGCTGCTGCCGAACATTAAAGACAGACCGTAGTGAACAGAAAGAGAACAATTCAATTTTATTGCAGCTTAACTTTATTAACACGACTTCTGCCGCTGTTGCTGTTGCTATTGCTATTGCTGCTGCAGTTGCTGCCCCCAACTCAGAACAAAAGACTTATAAACAACGCGGCAGCAACAGCAGCAGCAGCAGCAACAGCAGCAACAACAGCAGCAGCGGCTCTTTTTGAAGAGCGTGTGATAAAGCCGACACGAGCTGTGGCTTTGGGTTAAGTGATTCATTTAGCGGCAATCACAAAATGCACTTTCCAGCCAGAGAGATCCACATGATTTATGATTATATATATTACGATACCCTTTCAATATTTGCCTTGCGTGGCCGGCTCGGCTTTATCTCATTAGAGTCGCGTTTTTCATTTTTATTTGCTGTGCTGTGCCTCTCTGACCGTTAAGTGCTGCAAATGAAATGCCAAATAGCCAGTCTCCCAGTTTGCAGTCGGCAGTTGGCAATCGGCAGTCTGCAGTCTCTTCGCCCTAATGAGAGGTTTCCAATTGCAACTGCGGCAACTATTTTCGTGCTCTGCTTGGCAGCAACAAAGCGACGCAGCTCGCAGTTACATAGATACAACAGAGATACACAGATGCAGATGCAGTTGCAGTTGCAGTTTGCAGTTTGCAGTTTGCAGATACATTTACAATTCGTTCGGCCCACACAATTCTACTCCACTCAAATTACAGCGTCACATGCAAAAAGCAACAACAACAGCAACAACAACAAACACAACAATAATAAAATAGAAATGTGCGGCTTTCAGATACATTTGTATCTGCATATCTGTATATCTACGCCCATGTAATAGACGTGGCGTTTCCGCTGCCAAACATATCCGGCCCTTGCGCATGCGCAGCCATTTGAGTTATTTATGCTTTGAAAGCACTGCCCCCCTCCTGCCACACACCCATTTGAAGTGTTTCTCGAGTGCTTTTGGAGTGTCGTATGTGTGTATCTGCAAGACATTCGACACGCTCCCCCACAGTCAACCAGTCAGCCAGGCAGTCAGCCAGGCAGTCAGCCAGGCAGTGAGGCAGTCAGGCAGGCTATAAACTCAATATTACATTTTTACTATGTGTTGCCGTTTATTTATTGATGATTCTTACGCGCACGGAATTTTTAACCATAAAATTTTGCTTTTTACGCTGCAGGTGATCACGAAAATCTTTTTTTCTTCGTTTTTTTTTTTTTTTTTTGTTTTTGTTTGTTGGTTTTAAGTGCTGCCTCCATGCTTGACAATGATGATGACGACTCCGTCCTTGGCTGTCCACATTTATCTTGGCATGAGCATAAAAATCTTTAACTGTCTTTATGGGCATTTTTACACTGCAGGCAAACATAAAACTTTAACCACCCAATGCGATAGATCAAACAATGTGTAGTCATTTATTAATTAATATTTTGAGCTTGTTAGAGAGATGAATGTCTGCTGCAGATTATCACCAGTTATAAATCAGCTGAAACTTTAAAATATGCCAAGTTTGTTGCAAAACAACAACAAAAACAAAAACTGGGCTTTATTCATTTCTGATAGGTATTTACACAGTTTACTGACCTCGATTGCTTCAATAAACTGTAGTCGTAAAAATGGTTAACAAACTTTTCTCTGAGTATACATTTAATCAGGTGAAAACTGCCTAAATCGGACTATATATAAATGTATGCTTTGTATTTCTATATCTTTCATAAAGATCAAATGTTTATTAACTTCTTCTGCATTGGGAATATTTCTTAATTACTATTTCAATCATTACTCGACTCTGATCTATAACTAAATTGGAAAGAAATCATTTAGAATGAAGTGTAGTGTATTATTTTCCACACAAATCACAACTACAAAGAACAACAGCGATTCATAAATAATTTGATTTGGATGTTGATTGCCAAAAATGTCTCGGGTTACTGGCAACGACTACTGCTTTGTAGACCCTTCCTGTCGCCAGTGCGACGCGTCGGCTGACTTTCAAACGGGGGCACGTATCGACTTAATGCCAACTGTTTCCTGCCATTCACAAAAGCCAAGTTGTTGGCCAAGCTAAGCAAACCGAATCAGCAGCGCCAGAGAGAGAAACAGACATCGTTGTCTTTATTTCAATTATTAACGCTTCCTGGTTCTGGAGCAGCAGCAACGGGTTAACTTGCAACATCTGTGGAGAGAAAAGAGAACGAGTAAAAAACATTCATTAGGCGAACCCGTCTCGTCACAGGAAACTGCCAAATGCGTTGCATTTGTTTGTTTTTTTTTTTCTTTTATTGTGACGCGTATTATTATTGTGTGCTAGCCATAATTATATTCTAGCATAATCATTCATTATCCATTAAATTGTCCACTAATTCCTCTGTTGTCTCTTTTGATTTATTCCATGACGCCGACAGATATGCAACGATCTTGGCATTCGATGTGAAAGTGGAGCGCGAGGCGCAGGATATGGCTGAATCGCTGGGTGTTAAGATATTCCAGGCGGACATTATCTATCATCTGTTCGATAAGTTCACCGCCTATCGGGACGATCTCAAGCAGAAGAAACGCGAAGAGTTCCGCTCCATTGCCGTCTTTCCATGCAAACTAAAGGTAAGTTGAGATATGGTCAAACTTTCAGATTTTACACATATATATTTTATTAAAGTCAGCAACTAACCCTATATTTGATTACTTGTAATGCACAGAATATCTGTATTTATATATATATGTATACAGTGGTCATTCGAAAATTGGGTATATTATTTATGAAGGCTGTCACGCAAAGGGTATTAAATGTTGGGAACAGCTTGTGTTACCTTTTCTCTCTTGATCGAAACATAATTACGCCAAAAGCTACAGGTGTAAAATGCAATCAACTCGCTTGTGGTTGCTGCTGCAAATGCTTGTCTCCAGCTAGGCCTCGATCTCGATCTCTCTCTCTCTCTCTCTTTCTCTCTCAGTGTGTGTGTGTGTTGTGTGTTGGCTAATGATGCGTGCTGGCCAAGAAACGCCACTCGTTGGAGCGATTAAGGCCTGTCCAAGACTTGCTTGCATCACGTCCACACTTCCTGCTCAAATAATGTTAAAATAGCATATTTGATTTATAGCTAATCATTAGGTTATAGTCGCATTCAACGACCCTAGACTCGAGACCCAAGACTCGAAACGGAGCTGGCCATTCCATCGTCCACAACAGTCACCGGCACAGTCACCATCATCGTCGTCGTCTCCCACTGTGCTGTTAATTGGGTGCACAGCTGTGGCCAGTTGGCCTCTTGGCCACAGTTGACTAGTTGCCAGTGGGGCTAACCTCGTTGCTGCTTTGCTGGCTGGTTGGCTTGCCTAGATGCTGCTTTAAGTACCTAGCCACGTCTGTAGCACAACAATGACGTTGTTTAGTTAAGTTATTAACTTGGCCTATCCGTTCTCATATCACCCTGGTCTTAATGCCCGTTTGCAGGCTATGCTTTTTATATATATCGAAAAAGTAAACATAAGAAACTATATTTAATGCTGTTTCAATCATTGATTTAATTTTTGCTTATCTTTCTTCTATTCAATCCACAGATACTGCCTCAATTCATATTCAACAGTCGCGATCCGATCGTTATGGGCGTTATGGTTGAGAATGGCATTGTCAAAGTGGGTACGCCAATCTGTGTGCCCAGCAAAGAGGTAAGCAGAAGTGGCACATTGTCACGCAAATATTTAACTATTTTTTGTGGTGCCACACACACAAAGAAAAGATACCCTCAATGGCCAAGCATTGTAGATCGGTTTGGGTCTCCTTCTAACTATTGCGACTTGCGACGAGCGCACAATGGAAATCCTTGTCTTGAAAATCGTGTCAAGTATCTAGATACAAAATGTGCGTATCTGTCTGTATAAGTGTGTGTATATATGTGTGTGTGTGTGTGTGTGTGTGTAAGGGCCCATCTTTATAAACTGCGTCATTCTTGGCGCTGCTTATGATTGTGGTTTGGCATTCGTCTCTGGGCTTCTTTCTTGCTTTCATTGGCTTTCATTGTTGACACAGGTGCTCGTTGTGTTTGGCAAACTCGCTTATTTTTTTTATTGTTTATTTGCCAATGCTCTCGTGATGCAATTGCGTTGTATACGCTTAACAAAATCTTCACTTTTTATGTGTATAATTTCCGAAAACTAAGGAAATAGTCAATTCCAGCTATTATGCTGATTCTCGCATGATAAAAGGAACAAAAAAAAAGCCGAAAGGAAAAGAAAAACACATAGCAAAAGTAAATTATTATTATCTCATCAGTTTGTGTGTTTGAAGATTCGAGATGTGCAAGAGAGCTTCAATTAATGTCCTTCCGCTGCTGGTGTTCAATTTATGCGAAGACATGTCCTGTTTCCCGTCGTCAGCCAGGGAGACAACAATAACTGTTTCCTCTTGCCACAATAACAAAAACGAACAGCAACAACAACATCGACATCGACATCGACGACAACTTGAATTGGCTACTGCGGCAACGATCTTTTTTTTTTTTGCAAAGGGTTCTCGCCCCGTTTGATCATTCCCAGTGCTTGACTGCAAGAGTTGGGGGAAGTAGAAGAGTCGGATCGGCTTGGACGGCCTGGTCGGACGGTCGATTGGTCTGTTGGTCGGTTGGTCCCCCGGCCAGTGTGGCAATCTCTTAGTCTGGGCTGGTTGGCTTCATTGGCAATTATAACTTCCTCAATTATCCAGCAGAGCGCAGCTAAGCTGTGCGCTTCCCGTCATTCATCGTCATTCTTTTTAACATTTTCCTCCTGTGTTTTTTTTTTTCTTTCTTGTTGTGCAGCTCTCTTTCCAAAGTAAATTCATACAGATTTTTCAGTGCTTGCGATGTTCTTGCTTCAATCTTTTTAATACCCTACAACGAGCTTTAAACATTATCGATTTTCGTTATCTGCTTAACGTTTAAATATCTACTTAAAATCATAAAAGACGTTTTTGAATATTATCGCATTACTATTTAAGAACCTATACAAAACATATTATTTTTTAAACATGTTGAGCACTACTTAGGAAAGTTAAAAGGACTGCAAATTATAGTTATCGTAGATTGCATTCGTATCAGATCTTTGTAGCCATCTTTATAGCTCATCCAGGCAGTCAGTGAAGTCTCGCTCTCTCTCTCTCTCTCTCGACAATTCCAAAGGCCTTCTGGGGTCTAACCGAACATGTGAGCCCCCAATCAACTCTACTTAAAATGTGCACGTTATTTCAGCCGAAGAATGCCGAGTGTATAGTTTGTTGGTTGTCGTTGTTGTTATTGTCGCCAATGTTGCCGGCTGTTGTCGTTGTTGTCGTTCTTTTTTTTTCTTTTTTTTTCCTTTGCCTCGCGATTTCCGCCAACTCTGAACAAGGGGTCCAACTTCCTTTGGAGCGGCTGCTGCTGTTGCTTTTGTTGCCTTTTGCTGGCTTTTGCGCGTGCGTGTCTTGCCTGCCCAACTGGCTGCCAGATGGCAGCTCGGCCAGAGCAGAGCGCAGGCATCTTACTGACTCTGACTCTGACTCTGGCCCTGCCATTGATTGCCTTTATTAATTATCTAATTAAATCTGTAATGGCAGAGGCTTAACCTTAACCACTTGCCTGCTTGCCTGCCGGCCTCCCTGCCTGCCTGCTAGCTTGCCAGCCTGCCAGTCCGACAGCCTCAAAATGTGGCTGGCTTTGGCCCTTTGTCTCAGCGCCGCGTAATTGTTGTACTGCCACACACACCAAAACTTCCGTTCTCATGCGAGGCATTTACACCAAATTGTGTGTGTGTGTGTGTGTGTGCCCCACACTTCAAACCTCACCTCAGCTCACGCTCTGCCCGAAAAACCACTTCCACTTCCCGTTGTTGGTCATTGATTTGGTCAGTTGATCGTTTTTTTTTTGGTCAGCTTCAACCCTTAACCTTAGGTCAATTGAGTTGCCCCAAGTTGCAAGTGTCGAAAGTGTGCAGACGTAATTTGAGCTCGAGGAACAAGTTTCTCTTGGCTTGGCGACTAATGAGCGTAAATCTCGTGCATAATTTAAAGGTTCTTTGTCTCCTCGACCCAAAGGTTCAAAAAAAAGAACAGGTGATTGATTACACACTGATCCGGGGCCGAGGCCGGGGCCAAAAAAAGCACCTGACAAGCGGACTAATAAAGTTGTCACAAGAAAGCAAAGTATAAAAGTACAAAGCACATCACCCGTGTCAAATAGTTTTTATATAGAGTATCTGCTTGTCTAGTATGCCTAACTGGCATGCTTAATATGAGTTTCGCTGCCTTGCATTTTAAAAGCCGTAGCAAACAGCCAACGGAAGTTGGAGGCGTTACTCAGAGCCAAATCTGGCAATCACTCCACATATGGTGTATATGTATATTGTATGTGTGTGTGTGTGTGTGAGTGTGTGTCTACTACAAGTAATTTATATACATACTCTGAGTGCTGCCTAGCTGTCTGTCGTAAAAAACTAAATAGTCTTGTCGACTTCTTTAGCAACGGTTATTAAAAGCTCACCAAACCGTAGCCCAAAGAAAGCGAAATTCAATTTTTTGTAAAAAACAAAAAAAAAAACAAAAAACAATCTCAGACGAGTTGCAGTTTAACTTGAATTAACTTACTTGTGCATGTATCGCTGGAGGTACTTGTTTTGAATACCCTCTGCACAATGTAAGGTCATAAATAAGGTATAATACAAGGAGAACCACATTTGTCTAACATAAAAAAAAGCAGGAATAGAATTACTTCTAAATTGGGTATGGAGTTTATATAATAATATACAAAATTATATTAATTAAACATTTGCAACTTTTTCACTTATTCTACTGCTCTCTTAAATGCTTGTGTATTGAGTGTGTGGCTACTTTGTGTGCCTGTGTGCAGGGTATATGCCCGTCTGGCATGCACACCTTTTGGCCTTTTTTTAATTTGTGCATCAGTTGGGCGGCTGCTGTTGCCGCTACCCGTCGAGCGGGCTCCTGTCCGTCCAGGTCGCAATGCTTGGCTACCCGTTTTTTGTTCAGTAGTTTTTCGAGTGAGAGATCGAACACAAACCGATCGATATCTTTAATAATTTCATTCATGCCTCGAGTTGGGCGCTGATATGCACAAGTGCTGTGTTCGACCGGAAATGAAAGCTTATTCAACATGCTGCTGCTGCTGGTTTTTATTTTTTTTATATATTTTTGTGTTTTTGTTAATTAAATGCCTCGGAGCCTCTTACAGTTTTTTCGATGGGTTGATTACTTTGTAGTGGTTGCAGTAGCTTTGATCCCTTTTCGCGCCTCGATTGCTGCATGCCGCCCCTCTGTGCCCCTCTGATTTCGTTTAATTCATTCATTGGTTTGCTGTGCTGCTAAAATAAAAAAAGAAGGCGCCCCTTTATAGCGGAAATCATAGTACTTAAAGTATGTGCCGAGGCATTTCAAGCAAAGATTGTGAATTGTTAAGCCTAAATGGACGTACAACTTCCGTTTGTCGCCTTTGCCACAACTCGTTAGGGCAACCGAATGTCGTTTTGTTTCTCAATTCTGAAGCTGATTAATAATTGTCGTTGGATTTTAATCTGATTAACACTTAAACATTTTGAGTAAACATTTATATTGAATTATTTTTCTGTTCAATCTGATTAACAACAATTAATTTCGAATGCAAAATGTACATTGATTTTTTAATGAGCTCTCATTGAATTTAAAATTGAGCTGAAGTTATGAGTAGTGAATGAATTCTTATATAATCTGCACATATTTATTCAATTAAATATGCCATGAAATCATTTCTTTTAGATCTCATTCAAAGTAAGGTGTTTTATCATTGAAGCCCCAATAAGTCATATCTGCAGGCAAGTCGCGTGTAAATATGTAAATCTTATCAAATTTAACAAGCGATCTGCTTCAGGACGTTAAACAATCTTTACTAGAAAACTAAATATATTTTTAAAATAATATATATTTATTGGCCAAGTGCTGAACAACATTCTCGAAAGGGTATCACGTTTCGACTAGACACTCAACGTGCCCACCCCTTATCAATGAGCAACTGCGTCACATTTTTGCTTGGTGTGGAAGGAGGGATGGGGGAATGGAGGGAGGGGGGACTGCTGCAAAGAGGTACGTGTGCGACAAAGGAGTACTTTGAGCATTGCGACAAACAATGAAAGTGACAACAATAACAAGAACGCATAACGATATAAAGCGATAGAAACAGCGCTAAGAGTCGGAACAAGTAATTAAATGGAAGAATAAGTTGCAGCTGAGCCTGAGACGCTGCGGAAGTGGATAACAGTCAAAGGCAGCAGTGGCAGATGCGGGCTGCAATTCGATGCAGCAGCAGCAGCAGCAACTGCCCTAAAACGGAAGCAGCAACGGCAGAACGGATATGAATGCTTCCGCACGTATATGTGAAAAGAATGAATGAATATTTGAATGAGCGTGTGAGTGAATGAGGAGAGAGCGAGACGGCGTGCAGGCAAAGTAAAAGATAGAAAAAATAAGGTAGACGACGTACCAAATTGAAGTAAGCACTTGAAAGTATGCGCTGAGCTCGACAGTTGTTCATTGTTGTTGTTGTTGTTGTTGCACGAGTCGGAAGTGAATGAAGTAAAGCGGCAGGGAGAGAGGAAGTACCTCAAACCCTTGGGGGCAGGTGTGCTGCGTGCCGCATAGCCGGAAGTAAAAGTAAAAATTTCCACAGGCA